TTATTTAAATCAACGCAATTGTAAAGTATTACTTTAAAAAGTAATTTCTAGGGAATAATGTGTTATTTTCAACGTTATTAAAGTAAGTTATGAAAATGGAGTGTATGACAAAAACTAGGGGCTAGGGGATATTCGAGAAAAATTAAAAATCAATAAAATTTATTTAGGATTCCGAAAGTTTTAGATAACAATGAACAATATAAGATCCTGCAGGATTAACTTTAATACTTAAACATTTTCTTCCTGCGTACCTATAACACTAACTATTAAGCCAATTTCAATGTTATAACTATACTATTATACAATTTATATATAATAATTGATACTAAACCTACTATTTATTAGCTGTAATGGACTGATTTTGTGATTAGTTTATAAAAAAAATTTTATTTGTAACACCCTACTTTTTGAATGAAAAAGTAACATAACGTGATAAAAATAAAGTCGTAACGCTAATGTAATTTAAATAAAAATATTTAATGTAATTGTATTACTTTTCAAAAGTAATTTACCCAACACTGAAGATAGGTAATGCTCATGTATTAATATTTCAAATTAATTTGTATGTTATCAAGAGTGTATTACAATTATTTTGTTTGAACGACCGTTTATAGATTCTGAACTGTCTTCATAGCATTAAATTTGTTTTCATTACAGTATTTTAACTATACAGTGCTTGATTACTTTACTATTTATTTGAATGTATGGGTAAATAGATAATATTATACTGTGCTATTTTGTGGTTTGATTAAGTCATTTAATCTATAGATCAAGTTTTTATCAGTTACATTTCATAACTCTATACCTTTCAAACAATTATTAAAAAATATTGTTATAATGCATTAAGGCATATTTCAAGTACGTATCTTCAAATTACAGACTTTGATTTTTAGCATGCCACTTTAATAAGCTCGTTTAAAAATGGATTGAATCGCTTACATAAAGGTAGTTATATTTCAATAAATAAGCTACATATTTAGAGTCCATACCACATACACCTGACATATTCATAATTCATATACGGCTATACCTATAAACCACTGTAATATTTTGGTTTGACATTTAAGAAATAATAGTAGTCGTCCTATAGATTTTTAGTATTTTTATCATTTATTTAAGTATAAGTAACTAATAAATAAATTTATTTATTTATTAAACTAATTAATTATAAGCTACTATATAAGGAAAGCCTAGATGTTGCCCCCCGAGAATTTAATTTACATTTCACATATAATGAGGAAAGACGTTAAAAATCCAAAGCAAAACAATGAAGACTGTAAAAGAGAATTTTTACAATCCAAACCCTCCCATGAAAAAAAAAATAATGATAACAATACAAACATATATTTTTTCTAACACAGTCAAACTAAAAAAAACTAAAACTTACTTTTAATACAATTGTAAACTAATTTACACAATCAGAATACGTATAGTTGTATTTACAATTATAATAAAAATTACATATTATTATAATTTCATTATAAGTCCATAATTTATTAATTATATTTTAAAAATTAGTATTATTTTTATTAGACTCGAATATTTTATAGTTTTTTGAAAACCAGGAACTAAAAATAAACTCCAGTGAACACTGCTATTTTATTTTATTCACCCTCCGGCCACGCTCTTTACCAGACTAATACAGTAGTACATATATAATACAGGTATAATGTACCATGTTAAAAATATAATGGTTAGTCAACAAAACACGAATACATATTTTATATTCACGCATTACTGATCTGTTTATCAATGGAGCCTACGGCTAATTACTATAGTTATATTCTAATATTAGATGATAAGATTAAACTCAATTTCATAGAAGAAAACACTCAATTGTGAAATGATGTACGCACTATTGAAACAGAGTAAGTTGAATGATACACGTTTGCATATGTACCAAGATTACTTGTGAAGTTGAATGGAAATTAGGTGAGTTTTCAAACAATGTACCTAACAGTCAAATACATTATACCTACACGCAATTTATGATTTTCTTTAATTTATTATATAGTTAAATAAAATATTAAAATAAATAGCTGATATATAAATTCATTTTTATTATTTTTTTTTTTTTCGTAGGTAGGTATTTAAAATTATCTATTCTCAAACTATAATAATTATTTTTAATTTAAAAAAAAATTTTAATACTGAGTTTTATGAACAAGAATTGAAATCTAACATACTATTATATTGATGTCAATCACTACATAATTCGTTAATTTAAAAATAATGTATTACTATTATCATAATATTTTTTATGGAGTTACATGACTAATAAACTGAAATTGTATTTTAATTCAGAAAACATAATTGTTTAATTGCTTATATAATTTCCATAATCATAAACTATTATTTTTATTGGTTCCAAATGTATAAATATAATAATTGTATGCATGTTTATAATTTAATCTAGAATTTGAATGTTATTTAGGTTACATTGGTTTTTTCAAACTATCATCATTCATCAGTCATCACACTTGACGGTAATTATTTACAAATGAACATTTACACAATACAGTAGGTATGAAGACATTAAATTGCGTATTAACTTTATGTAGATTTAGTTGATAATTTAAATCTATAAATTTAACTTACATAAATCTAATTACACACCCAGTACAAAGTATGTAGGTGGTAATTGATAATAGCATTGATTACAAATTGATTTATAATTATTGTATGTACCTACCTACCTAAATACACGATAATGGAACACAAAATATTTCATATTTACAAAAATAAAATAAAATACTAAGCAAATATCAAACATGATTAAAATTTCAATGTAAGTAAACAAGATGTAATATATATAGCACTTACTAAAATGTTAATTTTCTCTTACACATTATCGCAGTAGGTAAAATTAAACGACAGTATAATTTCAATAAAAAAAAATATAGGTACCTATCAAATAAGTGATGTCTTCAATCATAATAGGTAGTTCTTGGTAAATATTAATAATTAGTGCCAGCTAAAAAATAAAAATGTATGATAACTGATAACATCATACGTTCACCATATAGCATGTATTTTAAACAATTAACAAATACAATGGTTAATGAACTCCAAAATCCCTACCAAAAACCTAAATTATCTCATTCAATTAAAAATGGGATGATCATTTTTCTAGAGATTCCTTTGAATTTGATTGATAAGATTTTAGATTGTTAAAAATATAATATATTTACTGCATGTGATTTGGACGTGGTAATTGTTTTAATCACGATTTAGTTGTTGGTATAGTTAGTGTTGGCCTTAAACCACATAGGTACCTACAGGGCTACATCATCATAATATAATGGTAAATAAATTAAGAAGTGGAAAAATTACAAATAAATAAAATGTGAGTACCGACCTAATTATAATCATTAAGGACGTTACTTAAAACATTTAACGTTTTTTTCCCACCAGCAATGATTTGATAGAAAAATATTCTCTGATTTTCAGAAGCATCATCCTATATGTATTCTTATTTTTAATTTAAACAACTATAATCTAATTGCCACAAGTTATGTGTTTTTGTTTAGTTAATGTGTAATACTAATATTTTTTTGAGACTAAATTAAATTTTGAAAAAAAAAATTTTAAGTAGGTACCTACCGAATATTCTCCGTTATATTCTCACAAAACATTGTCACCGTAATTTAAAAACACTACCTACCACTTACCATGTACCTACTACAGTTTGCTAGAACATAACGATTTTATGTAATTTATAAAAATATTAAGGAACTTTGTATTTAAATTACCTATATAAAAGTCATGCCACCAATTGTAAATGATTTCAGTTACCATTAAAATAAATGTGTATAATTTTATGTTTATCAATTAATTGTCTATAATAAAACACTACTCAGATTTTAAACGCTTAAGTTGTACAATACTAATAATACCTATTTATATTAATATTAATTTATGTCATAGTTAAACATTTATCAACTATCAAAGAATGGAATTCACGTAAAGCTATTCATTTAATTTTCAACTTTTAGAGGAGCAAGGAAGGATACAAGGTGAGTTGAGTAATGGTAATCTTACCATCCTATTATACTTGACTCGCATAATATTTTATTGAAAGGACGTTGTACCCGCATAATATGTTGTCTCCGTTCCACACTGCCATACCAAAAATTATGATCTGTAGTTCAAATTTCATGTTGTAGCTTAAATATTAATGTAAATTTATCTATTATCTAACTTAAAGGTAAGGACATTATCTGTGGTCTCTTAATGATTTTTTACGATATTTAATTTTCTAATCAAGTTATGACGGTGTAAAATATTAAAAATTCTTATAACTTGCCTATAAAAATAAAAATATTATGAAACCATACTCGAGAGCACAGATAATGTTCCTACCTTTAAGTTAGGTCAATTCGCTCTAATTTTAAATCTCACAATATAAAATTTAAACTGCTGAATGCGAATTTGCGATGTTTTTCATATGTTATGTAAGACAAAAACAAAATAACAGGTTTGACTTCTTCATAAAATATAATACAAACTATTGAAATAACAAAATATTCAAAACTAATAAGTAATAATTATACAATATTGAGGTCGGTAAAACTATTATAATTACTGGAGACTTTTATAATATTTTAAATTTATATTTATTTATAATACCTATATTATATAGGTACGGGTTGCCACAAATCAATTATGAAAACAATAAAACAGACAAGCAAATATTTAACAAATTAAAATAGAAAATAGTAAAAATGACGAAAAAAAATAATATTAATAATAATAATAGTAGAATTATAATTTATTTTTTATTTTATAATACAAATAAAGTAAATAATAATAATTCAAAATAGAAATGTTTAAAAAAAAACCCTCATCATCAAAATACACTATCTTCTATCTAGAAGACATCATATTTCTGACCTAGACCAATGAATTATTTACTAGATTCAATAAATATAGGGCAATAACGAGAATAACAATGTTAGTAGTGATTGGTGAAATAATAGATATGAGATTATAAGAAACACTCAAAAGCAGTATTTAAACACGTATTATCTTTGTATATTAAAAGAATCCTACATTTGTTTTGTTATTGTTTCATTATAAGTAGAGATCATTATGTAGGTACCTAGGTACCTATATATGACTGTGTTATCAGGACTACATTTAGGCAGGGGAGTGAAAAAAAGATCATACTATTTTATATTTTTATTTTACATTTCAAACGTTCACAGTAGCACGTTAAAGTCTTATAAAAAAACATAATAAAATGTAGGTATTATTATGTAGCATACTGCATACAATTAAATAAATAAGATAATTAACTTAAATTATAAATTAAATAATAGAAAAAAAATAGAATTTATTAAAAATTATTACATTTATTAGGTCCTCTAAGAATTTATAATAGGATGTTGAAAAAATATTTTTAAGACTTATTTTTACAATATAAAAAAAATACTCTATCACATTTTTGATTATAGTTTTAATTCAAGGAGAACAAAAGAAATATAGTTTATGGAATGGAGTCTAATAGTAACTATAAATATGGTATCAAATCCACTTTTTCACAAGTAAGTTATTTTCATTACTAAAAATGAAGCTGAACCACAATTTTCAGATGAATAACTTTTTAATTATTACACTTAAAAAAAACCATTTATATTTTATTCTACTATTTGTAGTTTTTTAATTGTTTGGGTGTACTTATTTACACGCAAGTTATAATTTTAACGGTTTACAGCTATAAACTGAACTTCTTAATAAGTGTTTAACAAATAAAAAGTATTAGGTATAGGCAATATTCCCATTCTCCATTAAAAAAAAATATTACCATAATCAGTACCTATTGATTTATTACAGTGTTTGGCGTTAGTCGGAGCTGGATTCTTACAAGTCGGAGTCGGCACAGAGCTGATTTGTTCGACAGTCATCATCGGAGCATTATCAGACCATTCAAATGAAAATGAATGGCTAACCATGACCAACGAGCAGACCTCTTGGTTTGGTGAGTATGAATACGTGTTTAAACATATTATCTTTATTTACTACCTCATCTACCGCACTTGAGTAAGTATAGTTATACGGCATATATTATATAGTACCATTAATTGGCATTATACACACGCCAGAAACTGATGAATGTGCCGAATTCAATTCACCTTTTGCCCAAACTTTTCAACGTACACTGCGTCTTAACAACAGCGCGTAATGATTTTCGAAAATCGTATTTAAAAACGTTGAATATAAAAAACAAAAAATGTATTGTTATTTTACCATTGTCGTTATGTATCCATCGCAGGAAGTCTCTTGTACCTGTGCACGCCTCTGGGCAGCCTGATCTCGTCGCTGGTGCTGGGTCGGCTAGGCCACAAGAACTGCATGATAATCACCAACATACCGTACTTGGTGTCTCAGATCATGTTCTTCTACGCCGAAAACGTGGAGACCATGTACGCGTGCTCGATAATTATGGGCCTGAGCGTTGGGTTCTCGGGTGGCCCGTTTTCCGCTTACATAGGCGAAGTGTGTGAACCGAAACTCAGGGGCGCCCTGATGTCTGCCACGAACGTGTTCTTCTTCAGCGGTTCGCTGCTGTTCGCCACCATCTACGCCATCACCAGACAGTGGAGGTTGACCGTACTCATCAACATGGCGATACCGATCATAACCATTGCGATTTTGTGCATGGTGGGTAATTATAATAATTATATATCTATATACGTATCATACGTATTTGTAAAATATTAGGGGATATATAGGAGGAACCTAAGTAGGTAGGTGTCTTAATACTATTTTTTTTTTGTATATTATATATTCGATTATAACTATTTCGAATAATAAGAAATATTTGTTATACAATAAAAAACCGTCTAATTCACAAGACTGCTGCTGTATTCTAGTGGGTACCATAGACCTTTTACTAATAGACCGGCCCTTTTCACGTTTCCACCGTGTCAAGACATAGGTGGCGCTTTTCGATTACTGAGTTACTCCGAAACGGTAAAAAATAAATATTGTATAATATTATAATATCATACTATAAAATTATATTTACACTAAACGGGCTGCATCGCTGGGCCATGTCAGCACGCGGATATTAATTTGTATTTGGTACGATATGATGGGCCGGTCTTTAAGTAAAAGGTCTACCGGTCTACGATCTACATAATATTTTACCACCGACCGTATAGCCCGAGGATAAAGACACCCGTCAATTATAACAATAATAATTGTTGTATACACAGAGTCCGGATTCTCCGATGTGGTTACTGTCCAAGGGCAAGAACGAAAAAGCGCAACGGACGCTTGGCAAGTTACGGGGATGGGTGACACATGATAAGTGTTCAAACGAATTTCACGAAATGGTAGTGTTCATGTCTGCGAATAAAAACTCGTCGAGTAATTTTAAATTTTATTTTTCGTCGACACCATAAGCTACTAGCGCGTGTTGTTCATAATAAAAAATCTGTAATAATTACTTTCGTGGTTCGACACAGACGATAAAAACGGCAAAAATGATTCGGAAAGTTCTTGGAAACAACTGCTTCAGCCGGACGTGCTCAAACCTTTTCGTCTACTGCTGATATACTTTTTCTTTTCAAACTTGTTATCCGGAGTACCATTCTCACCGTATCTAGTGGAAGTATTTAGTACATTTGGCGCCGACGTCGACGTCCAATGGACCGTAGTAAGTATAGAACTCAAAAGCTACAAGAGTTTAAACATTATTGTTCGCATTCAAAAAAAATTTGAAAAGAAATTGTTTTCAATATTCGTGTGATTCCCTACTTATATTATAATATTATAACGCATTATTTTACTCATTTATTTATTTACTATATTATAGGCGTTTTCGTTGTGCATAGCCATAGTTGGAGGCATATTGACTGTTTTATTGGTGAACAGACTTGGAAAACGATTCCTCACCTTAATGACGTTGTCGATTTGTTCTATTTGTTACATATCAATCGGATTGATTGGCGTCTATTGGACAAATTCAGAACAAATAAAATCTTGGTTATTACTAACATGCTTCCTCATTAGTACGTTCGTGGCATCATTCGGCATAATGCCTATCGGATGGATACTTCTTACTGAAATATTCCCCATGAAGTGAGTACAAAACAATTGCCACTCTAAAAATTATATAATATATGAATATGATTTAAAAATTATAACAATAACAGTACAACACACTATAATTATAATATTAATGTTATTGTTTTTGTTAATGTGAAAATAAATCATAACTGGCGAGTACTTAAACCTGAGAAAAATAAACAATGCCTGTGTAAATCTACGCACATCGATAACATTTAAAAATTAATGGATACTCTAAAGATTATAATAATAAATTATCATGAAATTGCTTTTGTAAACAGCATATTATTACACTAATTCGTAAAACAAATAAATCAAGTAAATAACACTGAAATATTATTTATTGTTAAATATTATGTTACTAGAGTACCTATATTATAAACAAAGACAATAAGTCATCTTGTGATAAAATATATGTCCAGGGGCGGACTGGCCAGGGGGGCTAGGGGGAAATATCCCCCTGGGCCGGTCTAAATTGTGAAATTTGGGCCGGTCGTTGAAGAATTAATAGCTGACTCACAGTTTTTACACCCTAGTTGTTTTCAAGAAGATTTCATACAATCATACAATCAATTTTTTTTTATTTTTGTGTCTGTCATCACGTTTTAGAACAGTAAAAGTGCTTGGATTTTCTTCAAAAGTAGCTTTTCTGATAGGTAATTGAATCTAGTTGGTACTTTGGGGGGGGGGTCAAAAGTAAAAATTTATTAGTAGTTTTCACAAGCGCCGGGAAAAACAACATAAAAATTAAGGAAAAACGGGAATTTTTACGCAAAATCGGTTTTCCAAAAAATCGATTTTGGTTTTTGGTGTAACTCTAAAAGAAATTAACGTATATACATGAAATTTTCACTGGTTGTTTATATTTGCATTTTATATACACGATAACATTTTCAAAATATTTTGATTTATTTTGAACTGTTTAGGGACATTTTCATTTTCCATTTATTTTTAGTTTTTTTTCTAAAAATATCAATAAAATTTTATTTGTTGGTTGCGAAAGCTTGAAAATTTAATAGAAGGCTCCTAGTATATTGTTTCAAAGGCAGATGAAAAAAATTAAAAATCCTCAGTCACAATTTTTTTTTATAAGCATTTAAAGTTCAAAAATTGACAAAATATGGAAAAATCACTAAAATTAGCAAATTATTTTGAGTTAAGAATTCGTAAAAATTTTTCTTTTTAAATCTAAGATTTAAAAATGTAATACAAGATTCCTTATAAGATTATCTACCTTCATCAAAAAAAAAAAGATCTATAAGAAAGTCAAATTAAATTTTTATGAGCGTTTGAAATTCAAATTTTTCAACATTGGATATTCACTCGATTTATCATGTAACTATTTCCTTATTTTGTTGTAATTCAAAAACGAATATCTGTAGATACATGAAAATTTCACTGAATGTTCAAATTAGCATTTCCTATACACCATACAATTTTGAAAATATTTTGACTCTTTTTGAGTTATTTACGGACATTTGTCGCTTTCAATTTCTTTTAGTTTTTTTTTTCTATAAATATCAATAGTCTTATCTGTTGGGCCAAAGAGTGAAACAATTTAATACAAGGCTCCTGATATATTGTTACAATATCAGTTGAAAAATATTAAAAATACATATGCACAGTTTTTTTTTATAAGCATTTAAAGATCGAATTTTGACAAAATTTATCAAAATCTCGAAAATTATCAATCATTGTAATTAATAAATTATAAAATGTTCAGTTTTTATAGCTAAGGATTGCAAATTTAAAACAAAGGTTCTCATAAATAGTTCATACTGTAACCAAAAAATCTAAGAACACAGTTATTTTTTACAGACATTTTAAATTCAAATTTGGACGAAATTACATATTAAAAATCCTAGAATAACTATTTTAGTTATTTTATTGTGATTAAATATTACTATTCGTGGGTACTTGAAACTTCTAAAGTGTACTATTATATTATATCTATGATAGTATTTCGGTTTTTGTTGATGTATAACGCGTTATAAGTACCTAATGGATATTGTGATATTATTAATTCCAAATTTATTATAGGTACCTTTATAGGTCAAATTTTGGTTTAGTACCATAGAAATGTATATACGTAATATGTCTTATACCTAGACTGACCAGGCCCTAAAATTAAGATATTTTGCTACTGCACACCTTATTCCATACCAAAATATTTTAAAATAATGAACAAATAGTGATTGTCTATGGCATATATAACTTCATTGCATAATTTATTGTTTTTGCTATTTATTAATAAGAAGTTATAAAAAATACAATCTAAGACAATCGTTTACAAAAGTCGTTGATACCTATATGGATATATGACTAAACATTTTAAAATTAAAAACGAAATAGGTAGCTTGGGTTAATATACTAATTATATTATAAGCCGCCCCGAGTATGGTGTAGTCGGTATGATTTTTAGTGTTAAGTAATATTAGTCATTTTCAATAATCAATATAAAAAGCCGGTTGGCTTTAAGCTTATAATAATAAAAAAAACCTATAATAAATTCCAAATTAATCTTATCACAATATCCATTAGATACTTATAACGCGTCATACATTAACAACAAACCCTGATACTATCATAGATAAATAATAGTATACTTTAGAAGTTTCAAGTACCCACGAATAATTTTATACAGTTATTCTAGGTTTTTAAAATGTAATTTCGTCCAAATTTGAACTTAAAATGACTATAAAAATAAACTGTGTCTATGTCTTTTTTAAGTTTTTTTGGTAACAGAATTAACTACTTACGTGGAATCTTGTTTTAAGTTTTCAATCATTAGATATAAAAGTTGAACATTTTATACATTTTTAACTACAAAATAATATTATTCAATTTCAAATTTTATAAATTTTGTCAAAATTCGATCTTTATAAATGCTAGTAAAAAAAAAATTGTGCCAATGTATTTTTAATATTTTTCAACTGCTATTGTAACAATAGATCAGGAGCCTTGTATTACATTTTTACACTTTTTGGCGCAACAGATAACACTTTATTGATATTTATATAAAAAAAAAAAATTAAATATGAAATTGTCCGCAAATAGCTCAAAACAAGTCAAAATATTTTGAAAATTTTTTCAAGTTTAAGAATTGATAAAATAAACATTCAGTGAAATTCAAATTTTCATGTATTTACAGTTGTTCATTTTTGAATTACAACAAAATAATAAAATCGCTACATGAGGAATCGAGTGAATATCTAATGTTGTAACAATTTGAATTTCAAACGCTAAAAATATTTAATTTTACTTTCTTATAGACATTTTTTTTTTTTTGACAAAGGTAGATAATCTTATAAGGAATCTTGTATTACATTTTAAAATCTTAGATTTAAAAAGAAAAATTGTTACGAGTTCTTAACTCAAATAATTTGCTAATTTTCGCGATTTTTCCATATTTTGTCAACTTTTGAACTCTAAATGCTTATGAAAAAAAACTGTGACTAAGGATTTTTAATATTTTTCAAATTTAATTGTAACAATATAGTAGGAGCTATGTATTAAATTTAAGTATTTTTACTCAACAAATAAAGGTTTGTTGACATTCATAGAAAAACTAATAAAATTAAAAACAGAAAATGTCCCTAAACAGTTCAAAACAAATCAAAATATTTTGAAAATTTTAGAAAATGCAAATATAAACAACCAGTTAAAATTGCATGTATCTACGGCCATTTGTTTTAAAGTTACACCAAAAACCAAATTCGATTTTGTTAAATATCGATTTTAAGTAAATATTCCCGTTTTCCTTAATTTTTCTTTTGTTTTTCTTGGCGCTTTTGAAAATTACTGTAAATTTTAAATTTTGACCTCCCCAATGCACCAACGATATTCACTGTCTAATCGAACAAGATACGGAAGTTGAAAATCGAAGCATTATTTCGATTACTTATTTACTTATCGTGTATACACACAAAAAAAACACACATCATTGTAAAATCTATACATTCATCGTTCCACTTAGAATCTAAAATATTGAATATTAATCGAATAAAAATTTAAAAAAGCAGAAAATAAATACTGCACACTTTTAAATTTGCTACTACACATTTAATATTAGCTACTGCACATAGTGTGTGCTACTGCACACAATTTTAGGCCCTGAGACTGACATTATACCGTCTCCGCTCAGAATCGTTTTTCTTATACAATGATATTATATCGGTGAATTCAAATTTAATATCATCCATTACACAGTGACCCACTTGTAACCTACTGTACATCAGAGCGACACCCACTTGTCCACCTTTTTTTTTTTAAATAGTTCTACAAGTAAAATTTACATTTATTTTAAATTATAGTAATAAAACATTCATATTATTTATAAAATCACAACTGAAATAGTAATAATATAGTAAAATATTTTGGGCCGCTAAGCTGTATTTCCCCCTGGGCTGACAATCTCCCAGTCCGCCCCTGTATATGTCATCGAGAAAGAAATTTTGATGTAATCTATGTTACGTAAATAATAACAATATATGGTTTTTAAACATTTGTTTCAGGAGTAGAAACATAACCTGTAGCATTTGTTCGACGCTGTCTTTCATCCTCAGTTTTTTCATGACAAAGTATTATCCGGATGTCGTCGATTTAGTGGATTTCTACAATACATTTACTATATTCGGGTTCGGAGGTTTGATCGGTTGTGTTTATTTCTATTTTTGTCTACCTGAAACTGAAAACAAGACATTGAAAGAAATATCGGAATTTTTCAAATAAACTACAAAAAACTTAATTTTGAGTAAAAATTTGTTGTACGCGAAGACCGTGATAATAGTATATATATATATATTATCAAGTATTTAAATTTAGGTTTCAAATCTAATTATGTGTATCGGTGTATCATGTATTGATGTAGGTATGTAAATACTAAATAATGAAAACATAAGTAGTTATTAACCATCTAAGAATAACATAATACATATTATGCCAAGTGTTTGTAGTTTGTGCACTATTTGTTCACATGCAGTTCATAATATTATATACTCGATATATTTTGTACATTATTGTTTTAACTATTAGATATTCTATGTTTTTTTTTTTAATGTAAAGAAAATAATGAAATTAGTACCATTAGATTTTTCAAATAATTGTTCCTTGATATTGTTATATATTATTATGTTATATATTTTTATTCGCTATATTATTTTAAAGTTAAAATATTCAAAGACAATCTAGAAATCTAGAAATCTAGAAATATTTTATTTTATTAATAATTGAAATACCTCGGTTTTGTATGAACGGACTTTTAACTTTTCTCAATTTGTTCTGGATAATATAATTTGAAAAATATTATTCAAATATGGTTTTTCTAATTGAAAATATTTGTTTTAATAACAACCAATAAAACAATATTGTACGGTACACATACCAAACAAGGCATGGGTAGTACAAAGCAGAACATTTTCAGCAAAAATTAAAACTCTTTCGTTCAGAGCCCAAGTAATATAATATATTTATTAATTATTATTAAAAATATTTGTAATTACAATGTAATCTTATTTTAGTTGTGATACAGTCATTGGAACTCTTTTATTTAATTTTATTAGGTATAAGTATGTTTTTTATTTATATTATTATTATTATTTTTACTATTATTATTGTAATATTTGATAAGTGTATAATAATTAACCACAGGCAATATTAATTGTTTTCTTATTTTTGTTTACGCCAGTGAATGTTATACTTTAATAATAATATTAACGAAGTGCTGATGTATAAACAACATTATAAGTATTATACTCATACTTATTTTAAAAATCGTTTACATTATCTACGAAATATATTTAATACAGAGCAATTGTGGGTATAGGTACTCACCCAACCCATCTATCTATCTATCTAATGTTTGACAAAATTAGTATATACCTAATTAATTATTTCATCAATTTTATTCATATAAATTATAAATTCATGTAAATATAATTCATATAAATTCATGTAAATTTGAAAATCATAATTGTTTCTATTATTACTGATGACTGATGAGTATTTAAAATATTTGATGGTACACGACTTACATTGATACTTTACTGCCTAATATAAAACAATATTTGCATTTAAGGTATTAATTACGATGTTTATCGTATGGTTTAGTGTTTACTTACATAAAATACACAATATATTATATAACCATAGGCTGAAAACAAACTTCATAAAAATTATTTGATATTAATCACAAGAAATACTGTTTTCTTAAAAACGTTGTGAAAATGCTAAGTTTGTAGTGGGTCAATCGTGGTTTAAGAAGTAATAATAACATAGTATAATTATGTACCTATGAGTAAACATACAGCGAACACAATTTCTTTAAAAAATGTATTAAAAAATTTAACATTTTTTTTTCAAAAGTTACCAGATATTTTAATTTACATTAACATGTATGCGGTTTACCAGTTCACACACACTCATGTTAAGATGTATTGAAGCACACGACGTGTATAATACACTACAGCCACATATTGTATCCACGGTAAAGTCATGCAACGCGTTTAATTCCGGAAATTATTTTGAGGAAGTTGTTGCAGAACTCGTTAACAATTTCTCAGAACCGATTCGTATACGATAATAGGTACCTATATATACCTATACCGCGTGCAACAGATACCATACGGTAAAAAAAAAACCGCCTCACTCTCTTTGTTGTTGTTACGTTTTATTAATTTTTTTCATCGATCGGGGAACGTTTATATTGCACACGAACAGATACCAAATAATATCCCGACGACGGTCCTTGACTATCACCCGAAACGCCTTGACCGTCCTCTCGGTGCGGCGACACGGAGTCAAGACGCGTATTCGTAGTAAGTTACCACCTCACACCGGGTACACTGGTACACACAGATACATGTACCACGCACACATAACCGCAGTGGTAAATACCTAACCATTATTGTTGTCGCTTGTGGGTCCGACCGTTGAGTTCGTTATTAATAATATTGTCAACGCGAATAATTCATCACAATATTATTGCACTATATATTGTTATCGTTATTGAATATTGTATCGGCGATGGCCGAACTTAAATCGTCAAAAATAGACCCGGAAAATGCCAAGAACGAGTACAATTTGTTTAAATCCTCTCTAGCTCAAGTATGTATAAATTATGTGATTATTTTTGTATTTTGCTTTTAGCGATTATGATATTTTAGTCGGTTATACTGAGACTGCCGTCCGTATAATATTATGACAACCATACGTTTATTAAACCAATTTTATTCAGGACTATAACTTTTTTTTGCAGCCTGAGTAATATATACCTAACCAAAAACGTGCCTATATAAATTATATTATAAATTATAATATAATAATAATAATAACTTTATTGCGTTTTAAGAAAAAATGTTTTTATTTATACAAGATATAGATATTAGTTATACATAATACCTATTTATTATTGTGTAGGTATTTATTAATACGTTAATTATTATATATTTGTGTAAAATATTATATTTCCAATCCAAACTAAATATTAATTCAACTGATCACTTCTGTAATGTATACAGACACATACACACATATACACGTGTTTTATGTGTAGTTTTCACCAAAATATAATTTTCCTTCGTATTAGCAAAATTAAATTTTACTAAAAAATTATTGTACGTAAATCATATTAACCTATTTGCTTATTCATGTGTTTTAAACAATTAACAACTAATTCTTAAAAAATTAAAATAATATATCAACTGATTATAATAATATGCACTCTTAAATTATGATTTATAATATTAAACTTACTGTTTAAACATGATAAAATGTTTGAATTAAATATATTACGAGCCTTCCAGCTTTGCATATTTTTTTAATACCTTAAATAAATATTATTAAATATAAGTATAGTTTAGTATACGGATATCTATAGATAGTTAAAGTTTGTTATAATTACGCAAACACTATTTAAGTAAAAAACATTTTCTTATAATTTGAGCATTTTATTATTTTTAAAGTAGGTATACTTAGTACTTACTGTATATTTATATAGATCAATAATATTTTATAATGGTATAAAACAATCAATGTATAATTAAATTTAGATAATAATAAAAATATTTTAAGATTCTGATCAATTAGTTATTATATTAATTTAATCTATAAAATTTACATAGTGCATGATAGTTTAAATACAATCGTAATGTACAATTGTTTTAAATATTTACCACTGTCCGGTAAAGTATACATAATAATTTGTGTATTGTATACAGATGGCATTATGTTGTAGGTATAACTTCAAATATTATTAGAGTCGAAACATGTAGAACTTATGGATTTATTGCAAATATTTTTCTAAAATACTAATACCCTATTGACTTGTGAGTTATGGTAGGCACTAATCATAAATGTTTATCTTTATTTCTAAATAAATCTAAAAACTACCAGTGAAAACTTATGAATTTCACAAATATTTATAACTATCACACCAGCCTTGATATGAATTCAAATGATTATTCTTATTTGAACTGAGACAATAATAAACATATTTTGGAAGTGCAAAGTAGGAAGGTATACTTTTGCTGCTGCAGTGTTCAAACTAATCAAACTCATAAAGTCAAACGATTACGTTATTGAAGTAGAAAGCCGGAACAACGCACGTCAAGGATCTTTGATGTATTAAAATAATGCGAAACTAGATTGATGTCGACCTCATGGTGCGCTCATATGCGAATGCCATTGATATACAATCGTGTTGTTTAATCAATACTTGCGGGTACCTACTACCTGTACAAGTGTATAAGTACAACTAAGTATTATATTATAATTGTGAACACAAAATGATCATTTCGAATGTACATAATATAGATACACTGGCATATCCGGCATTTCCCGAATAAAATAAATGCACAAGAATAAAAAAAAATTATCGTTATTAGGTACGTGTATTTCAATAGCAATATTGGTTGGATGTAATATGATTAATGACGTTTCAAGTATTATAGCTTAATAGTCATACATCCATAAGGTCATTTATAATAAAATTAAAAAAAAACATTTTACTCGATTTTAAAGGACGAAATGATTATGTTTTACTATAATCATATAATGATATCGACGAAGTAAGCATCATCGATCTATTGATGTCCAAAAACTTAATTAGCATATTGATATTATACAGCCAAAAGCGTCTGGAAGAGGTTTACAATAAGAACGAAAGTTTAACCAAGGAATCATAATTGAACCGACAGTCATCCATTATACGTTGTTCTAGTCTGCATTTCAGAATTGATTTAAAATAATTATTATTGTTTGTCCAGCTTTCTCCAACTATTCCATTATTAATATGTGTACATAAAAGATAATAATATGATATGCAATACCATCATAAAGTGATTGTTCTAAATATTCCAATGATGAGAGAAGAATGACAGTGTGCAGGTTTTGTGACCTTGTATGGGGTGGAATCGCCCAGGGCGAAAGCTACATCACTATATTATTATAATTAGTGCTAGGTTCGATAGTATAAAAAAATACATAAATTACATTTATTATTATTCAAGTAGGTACAATGCAATGACAATAATGAAGTACTGTATTGATGTTATATATTATTATATACGTGTGGCCCATTTGCACACACATGATATGTATAATATATTTCTAAGTATTTTCGACAGTGTGGTTTGAACTTTGAATTCAATATAATAGTATGTCAAAAGTCAGATTACAAGATGATCGAATGATCAATTAGAAAATGTAAAATGTTAGACAAGTATAAAAGTTATTGAGAACCAAACTGAGTAAATATAAGGTATATCTACTAATCTATAACAATACTGCAGCTGGGCGAATAATACAAATCAACCGATTTAAGTAAACAAACATTAAGCCAATGAATAATTTATTTATATATAACGTAATACGCCTATAAATAAAGTATTAGGTAGGTACTTAAGTAATTTACTTTGAGTATTTGTTGGTATGTAAATTATCAAGTAAACTATCAATATTGATCTTATCAAATAGTTATAAATATATTTTTATCAAAAATATTTTGTTAAATGGAGACTACGATTGTTTTTCGACATTCGAGTTTTTGAATAGTTCATATATTATATTCGGACAAGTATAATATTATTATTACCTATAGTGCTGCGAATTGAATTCATTTAAAATCCCCCAAGTATACAGTTTAAAATGTGATGAAAAAAGCAAATGACCTAAAAATTCAAAATTAATGTTTCAAAATTCATTTGGTTGTCACATAACTCTGTTCAAACTTTCAAACTTTCTGTTTGGAAAGCTTCGTTTTACAATAAGCTGTGAAATAAAACTAAAAATGCAACAAATTTCACAAACGCACTGCAGCTGTAATTATTAATATTACTAACTTCAAAGTGTCTAACATCCACAGATCGGTACGATCATCGTGCAAAATGTGATAATGTTGGGCTTTGGCATGTCGCTGGCCATTCCAACGGTGGTCATCGGGTCGCTGATGTCAGATGAAGTCGATAGCGGCGGAGGCGACAGCATGACATTGACGGAAACTGAAGCGTCGTGGTACGGCAGCGTGCTGTTGGTATGCCACCCGACGGGAGGCCTGCTATCGGGCGTGCTGCAGGAGATCGTGGGCCGCAAGTGGTGCATGGCCCTGGTCAGCGTACCGCAGCTGGTCGGCTGGTACGTGCTGTGGCGGGCCGGCAACGCGTTCGATCTGTACGTGTCGTGCGTGGCGCTCGGCCTGAGCATGGGCCTGAGCGAGGCGCCAGTACTGACGTACGTGGGCGAGACGGTCGAGCCCAGGCTCCGTGGCCCACTGTCGTCGGTGTCCACGTTCACCATCATGCTCGGTTCGTTCGTCGCCTACCTCATGTCCACGGTCATGCCGTGGCGGACGGTCGCCATGATCAACATGGCCGTGCCCGTTATATCGTTTGCCGCCGTCGTGCTCCTGGTAAGCATAATAATATATTACATTATTATTACCATACACATTTTCATATCACTTTATTATTATTATATTATTTACTATAATTATATAGCCGTACTTTTTATCTAATCCTTTAAAAAGTTAAGATAAATATGTGGTTAATGCCAAAACTTAAAATATCGTGATAAGGTTGCATTCCACGATTTTAGGAACACACTCTACGTACATATTACATATTTTTATTTGTAACGAATAATGCAAATTTGTTTTCCTCTCAATTACAATTATTATTATAGCCTTCACGCACATACAATATATACATAATATACCCTTATACATTTAAAACCGTGTATCGGTATTTTTTTTTTATATTTTTTATTTTGAAAATTAAAAATTATCGTGTAGGTGGGATAGGTACCTAGGTACATTGAAATCCGTTGCACGGAGAAAATCCCGTAGGACGTAGCCAATATACATATTACCTAAACAAAATAGATACCTAACCTTTTGAAGATATTTATTCATTTTTATCAAAAAAGAATGACACAAACATTGATACTATACGTCAAGTAGAGCTAGTGGTTTTCAATTAATTTTTTATTACATTTGTAGGGTTTTAAAATCATATCTCAGAATCGTGCGAAATTCAAATTCGAATTTTAATGAGTGATCACTATAACACATACAGTCGAGTCTCGATAATTTGAATCTCAAAGGGAATAAAATAAATTAAACTTGTGTATTTTTCGAGTTATATACCTCAAACGTTGTGTTAAAAAGGGACAAGAAAAAAATTCACTTATCGAGACTCGGCTGTATTACCTATATTATATGATATGTTTATCACACGTTGTATTATACTATTATATTATATCACCGCCACTTTACTGCGGGATCTACTGCACGCTCTATACGTCATAATATTACTATCCATGTCTCTATACGTAGACCCCCGAATCGCCAGTTTGGCTGTTGTCGAGGAACAGGCCCGACGAGGCGAAAAAGTCGTTGGCCTACCTGAGGGGTTGCGTGAGCACGGCCGACGTGGAAGACGAGTTTTCCGAGCTTTCGATCTACGCAGGATTCAACAAGTCCGTCGATCTCGAACAGTACGCCGACTGCGGAATAGACCAACGGCGTCTGTCCTACGTCAAGTACCTGCAGATCAACACCAACGACACTACCAACGGTAAGCATCGACGTCCGACTATAATATTATTTTCATTGATCGTCTATACATACAAAAATGAATAGCTGTTCGATAGTCTCTCTAAGACTCAAAAACGACCTGACCGATTTTTTTTATTGCGTTCGTAATTGTCAGGACGTTTATATGAAAAAAATGTTTAGGAAAATCTATCGAAAAAGTAGGAAATCTGGATAACAGTAGGTATAGCGCCATCTGTCCAGCAAAAAATAATTTTGTTTATTATAAGGTTGCTATTGGTTACAAAAAATAAAATAGTTATTATGATTGAATATAATCTTAGACCTGTTTGTTATATTTGGTCAAAACCATATAACTTCGTAAAAATGGTATTCCTACCGCTAATTTTTCGACCGTTGTCCCGGGAACCTATAACGCATTCATATCATAAACACCGTTGCACTCAACGTGTTAATAAAATATTCGTAATTACGTACGCACTTCGTGGTGTCTACAATCCACCACAGGACACAGGTGGTTGCCTACCCGAAAATATACTGCTCGGACAATCACAAGCGTGTCTCTCACTAGCAACGCCGGGCGGGATAGCTGCAATAATATAATAATATAATCGAACGTGTCCTGGCGTAGATCCCAAATACCTAATGATATAGATTGAAGCTAATTACTTTGTGAATTATATTCCAATATTGTATAATAATGTTTTTTACAGCCGAAATCGACATTCTCGCCAATCAAAACCAGGTCGGTTTTCTGGACACACTGAAGAGTTTTTGGTCACCGGAACTCAACCGGCCGTTCTTGTTCATAATGCTCTTCTTCTTCTTCTGGTCGTTCGCCACGTTCATACCGGCCAAACCGTACCTGATAGCCGTGTTTGGCGAAATCGGTTTACCGTGCACTGCTCAATGGACACTGGTCTGTGTTACGTTTAAATTATTGTTATGGTATACTTTTAACACATACGTCATGTCATACGATATTTTTTTCATACATTCACAATTAATATTAGTGCTTCTTTCTCGATTTTTTTTTTAAAAATTACATAGCGTTTGAGGATTATAACTTTTTTTTTAATCGCATTATTTGTATTTTAGGTCTATACTTCTATATTGACCTTGGTAGGAACTCTTTTGAACGTGTTGACCGTCTCCAAATTCGGCAAACGTCCTATCACATTGGTTTCGATGGCGCTCTGTGCTTTTTCGATGCTCGGAATTGGAATGTACATGCTTTCTACTACTTATTTCTCGTTTTCGTCTACATGGATACCGATGATATTGTTGAACGCCTTATTCTTCTTCTCCGGTTACGGTGTGTTTCCCATTCCATGGATGTTGGTCAGTGAAATATATCCGACAAAGTAAGTTTAGACGGTTTCCATAGTTACATAATATAATTGTATGATAAAAATATATATATTAAAAAAACGATCATATAACTTAGCCAAATTTATTTCATACAATATTATTACTTAATACTTTAACTTAAAGTCAAAACCGCCATTTTTCTATAGGGGACGCGGCATCGCAAGTGGACTAACGGCCGCATTGGCGTTTTTGATGACGTTCGTTTTGACGAAATTTTTTTTGGAAATGCAAGAGTGGTTCACTCTCCCCGGGCTGTTCATCGTTTACGGATCGATCACGTTAGTCGGAACTCTCTACTTGTATGCGTGCATGCCCGAGACTGAAAATAAAACGCTGCAAGATATCGAACAATTTTTCATCGGTGACTTGGACGACTACGAGGACCACGATAATCAAAACTGATTGATCGCAAACACACCACAGCGTCAAAATATTCCTAATTTGTCCTTCGCAAAAATCAACATTGTTCACTATAATTTATATTAATTTAAACGTATTTATTATTTATTGTTAACTTGAACGCCATTGCAATATATTATGTAAATGTATTACTATAATATAAACACTAAACGGTGTTTTGAAATATTTAAGTACCTATCTACTGCAAAATGACTGCGGAAAGTCCTATATTATACCTACAGCTTAAATTAGGCTTAATAGATAAATACGAAAAATATTAATTTTTTTCCAAGAAACATATTGTGTGTGTCGTGTGTATTATTATTATTATTATTATTATTTTTTAATTGTTCTTAATTAACATCGGCGACATTGACCATTAGTAATATTATTTTTATACGAAGAACAAAAATTAGATTACAAAAGAAAAAAATCATTACTTACATAATTATCAATTAATTGATAATATGTATACAGATTATCGAATATCGATACAAATACATTGGTCATTGCTCTTTACGATTGTGTCGAAAATTCGAACACAGGTCACAGGCGAGATATCGTTATAATTATACAATTAGGTATGTAAATAATAATGGTAATAATGGGTTCCTAAAGCCTATAATATTCCAAACGTTGATATTTTATTCCTGTTATTTACATAAAAGTAAAGATTAAAACTATGATGATTCCGTCAAAAAGTTAAAATCATGACGTAGACGATAGGCAGATAAATTATTCGCTTACTTAATAGTATTTTCATAAATTTACTTATTATGGGCACAGACTAAATAATTTTCTTTGTGATATGGCTATTTACTATTTGTATTAGGTTATTACGTATAACAGACTTTTTACGTCATGTAGTCATGTTTTAATTGTATCTCAACACACTAATTGAAGACTTGCTATCGACAAATGACGTAAGTATACTTACGAATAGCACATTCGTTATAATTATCCAGGCTTTGCACGAATAGTCGAATAACATGTTAGTTGTTAGACGTTTTTAAAATAATACATAAAGTATAATAATAAAATAATTAATAAAGATTTAACAAATTTTAGATTCAGAGCGGAGCAATGAATGTATTGATTTTTACAGTGGTGTGTGTTTTTTTATTTTTTTTTGTGTATGTCATCGCTTTTATCATTTATAAAAGTGCTTAGATTTTCTTCAACAGTATGCTTTCTGATAGAAAAGTGAATCTAGTTGGTACTCTGTGGGTCGAAAGTAAGAACTTTCCAGTATTTTAAAAAAATGCCTCGAAAAACAAAAGAAAAGTTAAGGAAAAATGGGAATTTTTACGCAAAATCGATTTTGGTTTTTGGTGTAACTCTAAAACAAATGACAGTAGATACATGAAATTTTGACTGAATGTTTATATTAGCATTTTCTATACACCATAACATTTTCAAAAAATTTTTGAGCTATTTACGGACATTTTCAGTTTCCAATTTTTTTTAGTTGTTTATTCTATAAATATCAATACAAGTTTATTTGTTGGGTATAAAAGCTTAAAAACTAAATAGAAGGCTTCTAATATATTGTTTCAGAGACCGATGAAAAATATTAAAAATCCATAGTCCCAATTTTTTTATAAGCATTTAAAGTTAAAATATTGACAAAATACTTAAAATTTACGAAAATTTGAAAATTATATTGAGTTAGAAATTCATACAAATGTTTCTATTTAAATCTAAAATTTGAAAATTTAATACAAGAACAAGATTCCTCATAAGTTTGTCTACCTTTGTCAAAAATGTCTACAAGCAAATCAAATTAAATTTTAATTGTTGTCCAAAAATGAATAATCGTATAGGTACTTGAAATTTTCACCAAATGTTTATTTTATCAGTATCTATATACTTGATAAAATCTTCAAAACATTTTGACTTTTTAGATGTTTACGGATTTTTTTTCATAAATACTGATCAATTCGCTTCAAGAACAAATACGTTATATTATTAGAGTATAAAAGTATTCTTTTTTTTTTTATGATTACAATTTCTATTTCTTTAAATGTTAAATGTATTGCAATTAAATTAGTTTATTAGTTCTAAATATTATTTTAATTTATTATTGTGTACACAACAAGTATTATCGACATTTCACATCATCGACACAATTGACAACGTGTGTGGATTCGACAGTCAGGCTCTTGTGGATCGATGAGCGGATAGACCGCAGGTGTGGCTCCAAGGGTGGGGGGAGGGCACTGGGGCCTTGCCCCCCAGGCTTTCAAAAATATTTAATTTCTTAATACATATTTTATTTGATATTTCTCCTTGTGAAAATTAAATTATTATATTAGATTATTGAATTAGATATCTAACAATTTTGATTTTCCTGAAAAAAACATATTATGAATTATGATATTGATATGTGATGAGTGTATCATGTAGGAACGTATTGCGAGACCCTAGACCGTGTACTATACCCTGTCCCAAAAGAGAATAATCACTTTTCCCGCATCACGAATGATTCGATTGGTGCGTCGAGACTCGAGAACCACGTGATCACGTTAACACGGGGAAGTTGGTGGGGGATGCGCGGCACTGACGAAAAACGGTCGGCTGACTGATTATTCTCTTTTGGGACAGGGTATAATTAGTAATTTGTGGGAAATACCATTATTGGTCAATAATCATAGGTCATAACTCATAACATTGTAATTTGTAACATGTTTAATATTATTTTGTCGACATACGGTTTACGTATATATCGACATAGGTATATCATAACGATGGCATATATAACATAACGACAATGCGACGAAACACGAAAAATTTAGTGATGGCTAAGAAAATGCCCCTCCTCCCCCTTGGTAAGTCTCTGAAGCTGCGCCTGGCCTATAGTATTTACTTTTACGTAAATACAATGTGGGGTTCATAGATCAATAGTTATAATTATTATTATTTTAGATTCTGAGCCGAGAGATGAATGTATTGATTTTGAAATCATGTCTTTTTAATTACTTTTTCTGACTGTTTTCACATTTTGGGGCAGAAAATGTGACCACACCGATAAACATAAAATTCTTTTACGCGGCCAAAACCTTAAATATATTATTTTATTGAGATTTAGTGCGTAACAAAGAAATTGTTATAAAAAAAAATAGTTAATGTTCTTTATACGTCCAGCAGTGGATCCCACACTCACTGCATGTTCAGTGGGGCCATTATTATGTTGAAATAAATAAAATCGTACTCTTTAACTCATAGAATACTTTAGAAGCAACAGCATCCCGCTCTACATGTTTCTTTTCAAATCGACAGCGAACTACCCAGAACGACGTCATTGGAAATTCCAATTTGATATTATCGTAAAAATGTCCTATCATTTGTACTTTTTACTCTGTAATAATTTCCACCCGCCGGTATCTGTAGTTGATGGTTGTGTATTTATAAACGATTGCTGCCCCCCATGGGCCATGGCCCCATGTACTTATTTAGTTACATATTTATTTGGCCTTACATCAATTATATCAATTAATATAAGACATGTTCGACATGCTTATAATATATATATATAGATAGATAACCATGGTTACTATCATAGGCATAAAAAACCCATTTTTTTGAGAGATAACAATGACTTAATAATTAATACATATGCAGAAAGATACCTAAATATATTACCTATTAGCTACTATATGAAGGTCCAAAACTACTAATGAGAAGGAGGTGGGGAATGCCCATCCTGCCACCTCACAAATGACGCCATTCAGCCATTGCATTGGTCTCATCCACTGCGGTGATGTGTCTGTTTTTTTCAGTGCTGCTGCAATTATCTTGGTTCTCAATAGTCATCTATTTTTGTTCAAAAACTTTTCGTGTGACTTTTTGCAGAAACTTCCCGTTTCACATAATACGGCATTACGGCGTACCTAGGATAAAATAAAAATAATATTGCTTAAGACAAGTGCTAATACGCGGCATAGGTACTCACTACATAGGCGCAAATTGACTTAATTTTTTGGGGGGACTCAAGCCCCCCTCCCCATAGGCCATATTACTTAGTACCATAGAATATACAATTTAGTACTAAATACTAGATATTGAACTGGGGGGACTTGACTGACATTTGGGGGGACTAAGTCCCCCCGCCGTATTTTTATCCAATGGTACACAGGTACTCTGATAGGTACATATAATATTATAGGGTTACTGATGCACGATTTCCTACTTAATTACGTTGCAAATTGTAGTATAGAAATTATAAATAAACCTACAATGTAATATATATTATATTAATAAATTATTTAGAATAGTACAGTGAAACCTCGATAACTCGAACGTCTATGAGTCGAATTTTCGATAACTCGAAGGAATATCTAAGCCCCTGCATTTCAATAAGTACACACAATTATTTCTATAACTCGAATTTTCGAAAACTAGAATTTTTTTTTCGCCCCCGTCCGATTCGAGTTATCGAGGTTTCACTGTATATAAATATTAATAATAATATTTTTTAAATAATAATAAGTTATATTTTAATAGTTCTCCGCCATTTTATTATTTCGTTATCACACTTTGTTTCTTTTAAGAAATAATTCCTCGCCAAGTAAATAAATTATTGAAACAAATATTAAGTACTCAAATTCAAAATACTTAGCATTTATTCATGATATCAAATCTTTAAAGTGCTTAAAGATCTTATATTTTTTTTACTTAGCCATTTATACACGTAGTTTACGAACGGTTTTTGTTGTGATATTATTATAAATTATACTTTTGTAACGATTTAATATCATGGTCGATTTCATTAAAATATTAAATTATCCTTCACCTTCTATTCTTCTGCACAGTTTTGGTGATACCTACTCATTAGTTTTTTGTAACTCCTTGTTGTGCGTCCGTCCATTATTTCTAACGTGGTTGGGTTGGCTTTCCGTATGTTCCACATTATGGAATATCTATAAACCAAAACCTTATCATTTAATGTTATAGAGTGTAATTGGTAATAGTTGCTGAACAGTGTGTTTCGTTTACGAGACGTAATATATAAGACGTAATATGTATCAGTGGCGGCTCGTGGTAGTTTCATATGGTAGTGCGATAAATTTGTAAATAAGATAAAGATCTCAATTAATAATAATCAATATTATGTGAATAATATTCCTAATATCACTAATATGGATAACAAGTACCTACTTCACAATCATTGCTATTGGTCGGTATTTCTTTAGCTATAATTAGACCGTAAATATCGAACTCTGCGAGCTGTAAATACAAAATCGCAGGTCGCCGCCGTAAATGTACGACGATAATATAATATAATAATTTATTATCGCACAGTAATATAGTATAGTCTCGCCGCGCTGCCGCGACCCGCGGACGGCAGTCCCCCAGACGTAGAGTTCCACAAATCGTGCTTATGCCCATAGATACTATAGCGTACAGCTCGCCGCCGGAAATGTGCTACGAAAATTACCGCACCAAAATAATATTATAGTCCCGCCGCTGACGTGTGCCGTCGCCGTTGAGGCACATCTCAATATAATCATAATTTGATAATATAACCCGTATAACACACATATTTTCTGTGCGCCTCGGGCCGCCGCACCATATAGTGTCTACACAGTATACACGAAAGTACGAGTCTCATGTTACAGACGTTGGTCGCTCGGCTTTCGTTTAATATTTAGATTATTTCTTATTGCAATGGAATAATTGCCGGGTTAAGATGATATTTTTCTTCAAATATTATTATTTTACAATACAATTTGGAATCATTTAAATTATTTCGTAAGAAATATAGACCATCATGATTCCTATTTAATTACTATGAGAAGTATAATTGCGAATATAATTTTATTTTCAAATGTGCATAGGGAGTGCGTCGCACCATCGCACCTTAGCACGAGCCGCCACTGATATGTATCAATATTATGAATATTATCAAAATATCAGGTCAATTATTTATTTATTGAGATTTAAATAGCGTTTAATTAAAGTATACATTTTGTAAACGGTATCCGTGCATCGTGTTTTTCTTTTCATCTGGTTAACCTAACCTATACAGTTAACTGCAAAATGTATGCAAAATGTATAGGTACATTAATTATTAAATACCTACTAAAAATATCAATGTATATATATATTACATATTTATTAATATATAAGTACTTGAGTGAATTCAAGCAATAACGAATGTAAACTGCGAAACTGTATATTGTTATAAACATTTTTTTGGTTGCTCATTTATTCTATGATTACGAATTGTTACAAAGGTACCTATAGTATAAATACAATTTACATGTTATAAGTAAAACATATAAAGTTACGCCACAAAAACAAAATAGATTTTGTCAAAAGTACTCAAAACCTGGTTTGGCGTAAAGACTACTGTTTTTTCTTCATTTTCCCGGTGCTTTAAAAAGCATTAAATTGAGTTTTCTTTGAAGTTTCCTATTATTGTAACTTTGCAGACGAAGATTTTCTCGATAAAATAATACAACCTTGTAAACTTCGTATGAAACACGAACAAGTTCAATCGAATGAATAATAAATCGTTCAAAGTCTACATTATTGGTCATTAGATACTATTTAATAATTAATTATACTATATATATTCATAACGATTAATAATATTGTTTTCTTAAAATTAAGTACTTACCTAACATTTAAATACGTAATTGATATAGGGCATTGTTATCGACACGTCATCAAATATAAAATAAATATGAGCGAATCACCTACTAAAATAAACAAAATTCCTTAACATAAAAAATAACTTTCAGAGATCATAATAATTGTTTCTCGTTAAACACACAATATTACAAAGGTTGTTAAACCATACAGTGCACATATTTCATAATAACAATCATTATAATATTAATAATCATAATATTATGTACCGTCGCCTGCACCGACTGCGAAATTATTGCTTGACCACGCACAAAAATTTTTTTTATTATTGTTGCAGCTAATGTGTACCCGCGGAGATCCGTTCGGTATAAATACCGTCTGCGGTCTAACACAAATCGATCATTCGATCGCCTTTCATGTTCGAGAAAAACGTACAGAAAACACATAATATTATTATCGTGGCCACGTACGTTTTGAACTGTTTCTGTATATGTCACGCGTGTCGCGGTTTTTATTTTTCTCTTAAAAACAAAAAACTTAACTCGTCGAGTGCGCGGTACGCTTACTGCCGTTTAAGTGTACATCGTGTGTATACAAAAATTGGAGCGTGTTTCAGTGTCGTGTTCCCGACCTTTGCGCTTCAATATTGCACATAATAATTGTTTCTATTATATCTTCCACTGCTGTTCACAATCGAATTATCTATTTAATCGAACGCGTAACGCACTGAAACCCGCGTTGCGCTCATACGGCGCCTTGCAGCATCCGAGCCATCACGTGCGGCTCATCGTCCAAAATAATTTAAACGACTTGTTTTATAACGACGACAACCACACGTGTGCGTAAACGTAACATATGTTGTGATAAAAAGTGTCTCGTTGTGCGTTCTCGTTTCTCACACGGTTATATAGTTTAACATTATAAAACACTGCCGCCAGTGTGCTAATCGCGTTTTTCGAGAGTCCTTCGGGATTTCGACGGTGTGCGCGCGCGTTGCGGGCGCGAGACGAGCGGGAATAATATTTTGCGATATTCGGCAATGCGCGTACGACTAAATAATAATCAGCAGTATATCTGAATATATCCACGAAATATCTCGTCCGTGTGCGGACTTTCGACATTCGTCGTCTCTGTATTCCTTTGTAACCCCCGAAAATCGTACAACGCAGTCATGTTCAACAACACGAGCAATCTACTGCTGCAGACCATGTTGTACTTGGCGCAGACGGACAACATCACATTTCCGTTGAACTACACAGCGGACGCGAACAACGTCATTTTAGAAGGCGATAGTGAGTACCTACTCTTATTTTTTTTTTAATCCTCATAGTGTTTACCGTGTCACGTAGTTAATTAATATCTACCTAATAAATACCTACCTGCAGATGTAAACTACACCTATCCAAGCCCGGATTAAGGGGGAGCACGATCCCGGAGCCAATCGATTTTGGGGACCCATCTTTATCCCCAAAATATATTTCTTTAACGCGATACAGTTTTCAAAAAAAAAATTATTATTTAAGTAGGTAGGTAATAGGTGCCTATAGTAGGTAAATTATTATTAACAATTATAAAATAAAATTGTTCTCAATTTTACATCACGAAAAATTACTATAAATAATGTACTATGTTTGCCAACAGTTTTGTGTATATATTTTTTGAGCATTTTAGTTTACCGAATTAACTATTTAAGTATACAAAAAGGTAGTTTTAAGAAAAATTATTTAGCTCTTGTAAATTAGGTATTTCAGTTAAAAGTATTAATGCATATTATACTAAACTTTAGAGGACCATAGTTAATAACCTAGAGAACCAAAATTGATCATTTAACTGACAAAATGTTCAGAAAAAAAGCTTTACCAGAATCCATAAAAATTATAGTGGTTACCATTTGAAAAAATAAAGTCGATTTTATTATTGGTACAACTGTGTGTTTAAAATTTTTGAAAATGTTACAAAAAATTGCCTGTTAAAAATAAAGAAACACGTCTTTTTTTGTTTTAACGAAATTCCATATCATTGATCCATAATTGTTAAAAAAAAAAAACCCCAGCGTACGACATAAGATACACTCTGTATATTTTTTGTATTGTAAAAAATTGTACAATAATATAAAATCGTTAATATGTAATGATAAAATTATTTTGAAGTTAAAGTTGAAAGAGGGCCCACTAAGTGTATGGTGTCCCGGGGCCCAATTGATCCTTAATCCGGGCTTGCATCTATCATCTAATAATCATCGTCATTCGTGCAGAGTAAACCAAATTCCGCTTAATATAATATAATATGATACACGATAGTAATAAATAATAAATAAATAATACATCGCTTTCGCGTTATATAGGTCATGCCACTTATAACTTTAGCCACCTGTTAGCTTTGTCAAACCTGCAATGGTTTTGGCCATTTTGTTTTTCTGTAGAATTATTATCCTTGTCTACGCCGGAAAATCCCCAAAAATACTCAGTATACCTACCTATACTTTACTAAAGGGGCTTAATTAGGTGGGGGGATTAGGGGATAGATCCCCCCCAAAAACTTTTTTTTACTGCTAACAGTTTTATCAACGTATTGATAATGACCATTCATGTTTGCTAAAAACGTATACCCCCCCCCCCCAAATCAAATTCCTAATTACGCCACCACGGACATATTATTACTATTCCTACACCTAAGAGTACAACAGAAAATACATGACAACCAATCTAGCGGTGCATCGCGTCCTGAACATAATCGGTAATAATACTCACGTAACTACGTAAGCAAATCGAATATTGTACCTAAACGCTTCGACCGACTGAACTATAAATTACAATCTGTTATCATGATTACTTACCGTACGATTATCAATATTATTTCTCTTGTCCAAGTCTTACAGCTGGTTGCCTCCTGCAAGATCTTCCAATTCCCATCGACTTGAAACAGCTTTTGTAAGTAGTTACATCGGCCGAATTACAATTGTGTTGATGCTTTGTCAACTCCAAACGTCATCATTTTTTACAGCTGAAATCAATTATTTATTGTATATTGCAATATTATATAAGCGTGCACAATTTAATATTTCAAAGTTCGCTAGGTCTTAACTATTATAGAACCTTGAGGAATTTAACAACACATTATTTTTTAAATGCCCGATAACAATAATAATAATAATAAATTATTGTTAGATTCCTGTATATTGTGTTACAGTATATTTTGCAATGTTATTTCCATAAATATTGTGAGTTGTGACGTTATCGCAAACTGTGCACCTATATAAATTGATGTGCGAAGTATAGTCAAGTGGTGGAAATATATTTACCACGTGTTGAATGCAACTCAGAGTCCACTGTGTAGCGTGCCGGTTTTCATTGATTATGAAATTGATAATAATTATTGTTATTACTGTGTCGTATAGCAGAAATGTACAGAGTTTAATTGACCAATTTAGGTATAATAACAAAATATAAAACTTTTAAATTCTATGGTTTAATTAATTTAAACTACGCTGTTATTATAAATTATTATGCTACATACCAACACATTATTGAAACTTAGTACCGAATATCAAGTAAAACTACAACTGTCGTCTGTCAAAATGACTAATTATTAATTACTGCCATTGACTAAACCCTAGGCGTTGTATTGATTTAAAAAAAAATATTTCTAACGAATATTTTTAATAGCCTTTTGCTCCATTTAAAACCAAATACGAGTATACTAATGCCCTTTCGTATATTTGAAATATTTAACACGATTAATATCGCCATCGCCCATTTTGAACGCATAGAGTTGTGGCTATCACTTTCCCGGGATATAAAGACATAAAGTAGTATCCACTAACGATACCTACTAGAAAACAGTATTTTATGCATCGAAAACTTTCATGTGATAGGTATTCAAAGAATAGAATTCAAAATGGTCAAACTTTTTGTTTTATATAAGTACACGGTATCATCGTCATCGATATATTGCTCTACAAATGTGTCCTGGTGTAAACGGGGTGGTTTTTTGGGTACAGAATCGGGGATATGAATTATAACTGAATGAAAATCAACTTAGTGATGCTGCAGTGCCCAGTGGTTTGTAATACCCACTGTATAAAATATCCATGTACCTAAGGGTGGATCTAGGGGGGGGGTCAGGAGGTCAGCTGACCGACAGTTAATATTTGCTGATCAAATTGGCAGTTTTTTTCAGATCTTGGGTAGTTTGACACTTGGACCTCGAATACACACATATAGCATAATTTTTTTTATATATATACCTAGTACACTGCAAGTATAGATTTCTAATCTGGTTTTAATAAGTTGCCCCTTGAAATGTCCTGACCCACAGTTTCCTAACTCTGGATCCGCCCCTGCATGTACCTACAGAGTACAGGCTACAGACTTATACCTTTATAGGAAACCTAGACAGTGTAATATTCTTACGAGGCGTCTATTAATTCAATATACAACACCTATTTTGAGTTAATTGACACAGTTAATATACCGTCACGAAAAAGTTAATTTGGACTATATAAAGAAAAACAAATTTACTCAAAAAGTACAGGAAATCTATATTGTTGTATAAAATAAAGTAGAACATATAATTATTACAGTCGTGTCTTGATAACTCGAATCGCAAGGCCCAAAGGGAATGAAAATAAATTTGACTTGTGTATTTTTAGTGTTATGCCTGTACCTCAAACACTTCAAGGGGCAAAAAACATATTCAAGTTATTGAGGTTTTCGATTTATCGAGACTCTGCTGTATTTCAAAGAAAGCATCATAATATGTGATTAGTATAAATATTGGACAGTCAATCTCGTGTCAGTTATAAGGTCGTTAAGTTTTGTCCGATTAAATATTAAAAGTGATTGGATGACGTACAATAATTTTATACAGCAATAATTTTGATATCACATACGAATTTTGAAAGACTCCGTGTATGTATGTGGACAATACACAATTTAACCATAATTTATTACCTTTATTATAATAAGGGCTTGAAACTGAATAATGCTCTTAAAAAACACTAAATTTGCATTTTTTAAGCGCTTAAAAAAGTAATAATATGCAATTGTTATTTTTTAAACCAAGGGTAGTTAGGAATTCTTAGGTTAGTTAAATTAATTCGATGTGCCTTTATATTTTATAGTTACAACCTTAAAAGTACGTACATGATAAAATGAATATTGCCTAAACCTATTTGTAAGTGTTTAGTACCTGCATCATTTTTAAAATATCTATTTAAGAATAAATAAAAACATTTATACATGCAACAACTTCCTGATTAAAATAATTAGTAATAATGTATATCACACCGCAGCTGTCTTGGTCTTTTTGCAGACGTGGAGGTCAAGTGCTACGGCGAGTACGGTTGTTTCTCGGTGGCCGGGCCGTGGCAGGACGTCTCCTCCAGGCCGGTAAACGTGTTCCCGGAAAAACCGGAAAAGATCGCGCCGAGGTACTGTCTGTACACTCGCAACAACAGGAACGTATGCCAATACCTGAACCACAAGGACCGCAATTCGGTGATCACGTCTCACGTGATCCCGTCGATGCCCACGTACTTCATCACGCACGGGTTCTTGGAGGGCGGCGACAGGCCGTGGCTGAAGGAAATAGCCCGACAGATCCTGCGACGGTACGATGCCAACGTCGTAATCATTGACTGGGAACAGGGTTCGGGGTCACCGTACACGCAGGCCGTGGCCAACATACGGATGGTGGGCAGGATAACAGCACACCTGATAAACGTGATAAGAGTAAGTGACATTTATGTACTTTTACAATACAAGTATATAATGTAATATATTTTGTATAAATTATAATACCTGAATTATGTATAGACTCTGCAGTGCATGTGGACTTAATAATATATTATACAGGCCAAGCAGAAATATTTTTATTTGTTAGGGGGGGGGGGGCAGACGGCGCACCTTAACTCCTACTGGGCCTATGTGATTGGTAGATCCATTATGCTGGGAGGACGAGAGAAAAAGGACTAACATAATATAATTAACTGCGCACAGTAAAATAATTTAAAGTATTCCCAAAATGTAAAAAACAAAATTATTTCATATTTGTTTATCAATCGAGAGCAGCTATAAAAAGAGTTTTTCACAATGATGACAAGATCGAGAGGGTAAAAACCATAATTAATATTAACCTCAATAATATTAAGATCTTGTCCAGGTTGGTTGGTATTTTACGGAGTGTCGTCTGACAAAATATAATATTAGGTAGGTACTTGTACACAGTGCACCACAATGCACCTAACCTAGATACCTAGATACCTATACTGAGGTCGTAATACCTATTGTATACACAATTAGTAATTTCAATAGAACATGAATATAAATAATATTATTTAAAATCGTTTCTCCCTATCGTCGCCTCTTTGGGTTTGGATAAAAAAAATAAATGCATGTACCTTTAGTATTATAATAATATGGTCTAATACGGTAATACGCAAAGGTTTCCCAACCGATTACAATCATGTCGAGTTGATGCTTTAATAATTATCGACCGATTAAATCATATCGCTCGGTAATATAATATATCGTTAGTTAAATATATACCTAATATATTATACAATACAATTTATTTATTTTTATCATATTCAATAACGCGATTGTATCAATAATCCGTGTTTCTAATAAGCGGCTTCTACTGTATATAATATATTGTCAAGTCGTCGTAGGACATTTAAGTTTAAAAACATCGGCATTTAATTGCATTAATATTTAATTCGCATATTAAATAATAATGCTCATCTAGTTACCTATCTACTATTTTTCAAAGAGATATGAAGAACTATTAAAATTGTATTAACATAATATTTATAAATAACTATAATACCTAACTAGTATCGTCCATTATATCTGGTAAATTTGACCATAAAAACCGTTTTAATTGTAAAATCATCACGCTCTAAAATATTACGTTTCTTATCGCATCACATTTACACTTTTGCATTTCATTTATATATTTTTCCAATTCAAGCAGTGACTACGCCGCATTATAATATATCCATACTTCTATACTTAATATTAAGATATTAAGATATTAAGATATTAATATTAAGAGGAAAGTTTTGTTTGTAACGAATAAACTCAAAAACTACTGGAACGATTTGAAAAAATATTTCACCAATAGAAAGCTACATTATTTGTGAGTTCTCATAGGCATACATTTAGTCCGATAAAGTTAATAAATAGTTAGTTATTATTAATAATTAAAATAAACGTGTAAATTGTATATACCTATATACGTGCGGGTTGTCGGTGGGTTTCAAGCTACCTGCAACCTGACCTTTTAGATTCTGAGTGGAACGATGAATGTATTGATTTTACAATATGTGTTTTTTTTTTATTTTTATTTTTTTATTTGTGTCTGACATCACCTTTTACGACAGTAAAAGTGCTTGGATTTTCTTCAACAGTATCTTTTCTGATAGGAAAGTGAATCTAGTTGGTACTTTGGGGGGTCAAAAGTAAAAATTTCTCAGTAGTTTTCCAAAGCGTTGTGAACAACAAAAGAAAAATCTGTTTTCGAGAAAATCGATTTTGGTTTTTGGTGTAACTCTAAAACAAATGAATGTATATACATGAATGAATTTACTGGTTGTTTATATTTGCATTTTCTATACTCGATAAAATTTTCGAAATATTATGATTTGTTTTGAGCTGTTTAGGAACATTTTCATTTTCCATTTTTTTTTTCAAAAATATCAATACAATCTTATTTGTTGATTGAATAGCTTGGAAATTGAATAGAAGGCTCCTAGTATATTGTTTTAAAGACAGATAAAAAATAATAAAAATCCTTAGTCACAGTTTTTTTTATAAGCATTTAAAGTTCAAAAATTGACAATATATGGAAAAATCACGAAAATTAGCAAATTATTTTGAGTTAAGAATTCATAAAAATTTTTCTTTTTAAATCTAAGATTTTAAAATGTAATACAAAATTCCATATAAGATTATCTACCTTTATCAAAAAAAAAATGCCTATAAGAAAGTCAAATTAAATTTTATGAGCATTTGAAATTCAAATTTTTACAACATTGGATATTCACTCGATTTCTCATGTAGTGATTTTCTTAATTTGTTGTAAATTAAAAACGAATAATTGTAGATACATGAAATTACACTGAATGTTTATTTTATCAATTTTTATACTTGATAAAATTTTCAAATTATTTTGACTTGTTTTGAGCTGTTTACGGACATTTTCAGTTTTCAATTTATTTAGTTTTTTTTTTCTATAAATATCAATTAAGTTTTATTTGTTGGGCCAAGAAGTGTAAACATTTAATACAAGGCTCCTGATATATTATTACAATATAAGTTGAAAAATATTAAAAATACATAGGCACATATTTTTTTATAAGCATTTAAAGATCGAATTTTGACAAAATTTATCAAATTTGAAATTTAATAATTATTTTGTAGTTAAAAATTTATAAAATGTTCAAATTTTATATCTAAGGATTGAAAATTTAAAACAAGATTCCACGTAAGTAGTTAATTCTGTTACCAAAAAATCTAAAAATACATAGACACAGTTTATTTTTATAGTAATTTTAAGTAGGTATATAATATGTCTTATACCTAGACTGAAATACCGTCTCCGCTCAGAATCGTTTTTCTTATATAATGATACCTATTAAATCATTGAATTCAAATTTAATATCATTCATTATACAGTGACCCGCTTGTAACCTACTGTACAGCAGAGCACCTCTTTTCTTTTGTGTGTGTTTTATCGGCGTGTAGATATTAATTAGAGTAGAAATTAGTATTTATTTATTATTGATTGCCATTAGTTATACGGATAAATCACTAGATCAGGTACAACCTTGCATCAAATCGAATTTTCGAACATTGCCTACCGGGTGGCTGAGTTACACTGACTGCGGCGAGTTACACCCAAAAGGAGTTGAACAATCATAATTTTTTTAAGAGTTGCCATTTTTTACGGGCAACAAAGTGCACGGGATCGGATAGTATATTATATTATGGTATTTTTATGCGCAGACAGAACTCGGATTAAACGTCGGCAACGTTCATCTAATCGGACATAGTTTAGGATCGCATCTCTGCGGTTACGTCGGAAGCGTACTGAAGACGAACTTTGGCGTGACGGTGGGTCGAATTACTGGTCTGGACCCGGCTGAGCCCCACTTCAGCCAGACTGACCCAATGGTGAGGTTAGATCCTTCGGACGCCATGTACGTGGACATCATACACACCGATTCCAGACCGTTTATAAAAGGAGGCGAATTAAGTAAAATATTAATTATTATATTATTATGTTTTATTGTAGCAATATTTATAACATTTTCATTATTTTTTTATCGTTTAAAGTTATTTTGTACATACATTTCTAATAATTATTGTATGTGATGTTTATTCACATTGTCTGCTGCAGGTCTGGGAATGAGTGCACCGATTGGGCATTTAGATTTTTATCCAAATGGAGGAGAAAATCAACCGGGGTGTAATCAGGGTATGATGAAGTATATTAACCGCGAAAACGGTAGTTTCTATCAAGGCATGAGAAGATTCCTGGCCTGCGATCATGTCAGAGCCCACGAATATTTTAACGAATCTGTGAACACTCTTTGCAACTTTGTAGCAATTGAATGCGATTCTTATGAAGAATTCTTAAGTGGAGAATGTTTTTCATGTTTGAGCGATACGGTTCGTACATGACACATAATTATCATTACCTGTTATTGATAATACCTATTATAAAATATGTTTTCATCTAATTACTCAAATGTTTCAGAACCCTGATGGTAAAATCTGTGCAGAAATGGGTATGCGATCGTTGGGCCACTGGAAAAAATACTCCGCCACTATTGCCAGTTCCATTGATCCTAATGCATCGCCACACATACGTTTATACTCACTCACAAACGGAGACTCGCCATTCTGCAGTAAGTATTAATGTTATAAAATTAACTGTAGCTTTTTTCCATTAATTTTAGTTTTGATACATATATAATAGTATAATACCATAACTATATAGTATATATCGACTCGTTATGTCTTAACAATATAATATTATCTTCGACAAATACCAACAACAATATTTTTAGATTTTAAAAAGAAGTTCTAATTTAAAAACTTTTAAAATAAATTTTTCAAATAGATGTTTTAAAAAAACTCATTACAGTATGTATACCTACGTAGGTACATGGGCGTTCTAACGGGGGGGAGGGGATATGGGGAGGGGATATCTTCCCCAAGGTTCTTTATTTTCTTACATACTAGTAATACACGTTTTGTCTACTTTTGATATGTGTTTGTGTTTTCAATATTGACTAGGTAGTTATTATTTTTATTTTATTTTTTGCTATTTTTCTTTATCGTGATTATTGATTCCACCAGCCATAAACAATATTATTACTTATCGCTGATAAGGATAACATATATCAGGCAATTCGTTTTACAATTTATTTGTACTGTATTTTTGTAAACGATCACTCCGTCAATTTTACCGATTCCCAGCGTCAGAAAAAATTTAAAGGTAAGATACACAATGATAACAACACAGTGATAAAATAAAATAAATAATTTAAACTAATTCATATTATTGTTTTATAGTTTAAAATTTAAATAAAAAGTACAATATAAATGACTTGAATTGATTATTTGATATTATCAACTATCATTATTAGATTATTCATAGGGATCTATTTTTTTTACAATGGTGTTTATTTTTTATTTTTATTTTATCCTGTATATAAAATTTCTACTGGAAGGAGTTCTTCGCTTTCAACATTTATATTCTTATCTTTTAGCAAATTGGATCAATATGGTACTTTAGTGAGGACATTTTTCAATTTTCTCAAAATTTAATGACACAGAAAAAACCACAGACAAATTACAAAAAACCGTTAAAAATGGGAATTCAATTTCTAACACTTTGTTTATCACCATAGAAACAAATAAAATAAAAATAATGATTTTAGTTATTTTGTTGTAATTTATAATATTAATTCAACTCACAGGCTATAATAAAATACAATAACAATATAAAATATCCAGACTGACAAACCGTCTCCGCTCAGATATGATATCATTGAATTAAAATGTATACAATCCATTATACAGTGACCCACTTGTAACCTACTGTACAGCAGAGCGACATCCACTTACCCGCTTTTTTAATATTCATTATTATAATATGGGAGTTGTGAGGCAAAACCCTTACGGCTTATTTTGTAACCATTTTTTTCATCCCCCTCCATTGAAATATCCTGAGAACGCCTCTGCGTAGGTATATATAATCATAATACCTAATGACTAATGAGTAATGAGGACCTATTCGGGCTATTATGATTGGGTATAAACTATAAATATATGTTCGAAATACGAATTATTCATATTTTCGATGCAACGATGAGGCATAGATACTTAACTGGTGTTTTATATTAAAAACATGTACCTAAACCTACCTATTCGATTTCTCACGTTTATGTTTTAGCGTACTTGTACCGAGTGACGTTGAATTTGGCTAATTCGCAATTGAGCAAAGACCACGGTGGTGAAGTAGGACATTTTTTGGTGCAACTTGAAGGAACTGAATCGAAGTCTAAACTTTTGAACGTATTCAAGTGAGTGTATTCTATATTCTATAAGTTATGTACCTACCTATATGTATATTATTATAAGTATAATGTGTACGCATATAAGTACTACTATCACCCTCCGCTAACAACAAAAAAAAATATAAAAATCCCCACTAATAATAATGAATTTGAGTAGTGGTAGTGATTCTATTTAAAATCATAAAAACTAAACGTTTACACTTAAAAACAGGGAACAACATTACAAACCGGGCAGTGTCCACCGTCGGGTGTTTGGGTCCAGTAGTGTGGGTTCCATCAAATCTGTTCTATTGGTTTGGAACCACTCGACCACGATGAACATACTAACCTGGAGATTCGAAGCGCCGGTCATCTACGTCGAATCGCTGACTATCGAGGCGTTCAACGGCGGCCAAAAGTATGTCAACTCTACTACTATAATATACATTACCCTGTAACAAATATACAGTACACACATTGTTATTATTATTATAACTGAGAAGAAATAAACTTAAATTAGGGGGTTAAAAATGTGACCGGGATACCGCCTAACCAGTGGTGCCCGAATGTAATGTTTGGCGGTGGGGGGAGTATGACAAGCGCCTAGCGCCTGCGTTCTCTCCCCCACCGTTCACCAACCGACCCGAACGAACGACGCTGGTCAGAGTGGCATTTATAAAATTATTGCTTGTTTTACATTTTTGAACAAAAAATATAATATATTCTAAAAGAATCGCATTTCACTGACCTATATTTGTATAAATAAAACTGATAACTGATATACCTGCACTTGATTATAATATTGTGTTATTATACAGTGTGTTACTCGTAATTTTTACTGTCATTAACTTTTTACTCAATGTTATAATATTGAAATATGATTTTAAAAACTAATAGAGACAGGCGCGGATCCAGGAATATTTTTTTGGGCGGGCCCGTAAATTTAACCACATAAGATAATGCAGTAAAATTAAGATTTAATAAAGAATAATTTTCATTTAGTTATAAATATAATAATAGTTAAAAAAAAATATATTGATATACAGTTACATGGAAAAATTTAACCTTCTTAACTTATTACTAGCAAATTCATTTAAAATGTTGTATTAACTCTTTACTTTAATTCTTCTCATTGTAGAAAAACTCCTTTCAGCTGTAGCACTTGAAATTGGAATAACTAAAATTCGTCTGTACACTTCTTCTAGCTGTAAGAATGATGCTCCCATGCTTTTAATTGATAAATAGGCTTCTATAGAATTTGAATCTGCAGCAAACATTTTTTTTTCCTAAATCACATTGTGCTCTCAACTTTTTAATAAATTGATTATCTGTAGAAATTCCTGGCAATTTTATAAGTGTGTCAAAGTCTAAAAACATTTTGGAGCTTGGATTACAGAGCTTGAATAACTATTTACTATAATAATATAACAATCTACGTGTATATACTGTACATATAGGTATTAGGTATGTATTTGTTTTCGTGTAAGTATTCAATAGTTGCGCAAACAATTTGTTAAATATAAAATAAATGGTTATGCCTTAATAAATAGCTAAAAAACAAAATAAAACTTACCTATTTGATGTATATGCTCAGCACATCAACAATACATAGATGGATTTCCAACAAATTTTAATATTTAAATTATTTAATTAAAATGTGGATTCAGGTATAGCGTATTGGAAGTTCACAGCAGACAGAATAATATTACGATTACACGTGTGGCCGTGACGTGTTATCTAAAATAACAACTGGAATGCCAATCTTTAAAATTAAAATTATTGTTCTTGAAAATTTTGGGTGGGCCTGGACCTGGGCCCACCCTCTAGATCCGCGCCTGAATAGAGAGTCTATTAGAAAGCCACATTTGTAATAATTTATAGTATAAGATATTAGTTTACCTAAATCGTTGTCTTGATATTGCTTAAAAATCTTAGATGACAATGTGGATATTGAACGGGGAAAAACAGTATGAGACACCTGTAACAACACGGATAATTTATTACAAAATACATCGTTGTACAGAGATAATATTATAATAATATTATTATGCCGTGTATTAATAATATTTACGTTTTTCTTTTCAGACTAAAACTATGTCCACCGAAATTAATAGCTTTAGAAGCCGGCCTATCGTTTAGAATGATTCCGTGTTAACACTATATATTTACAATACCTGCGTGAACAACGAAGATACGAATTTTGTAGATCGATTTTAGTAATCATATTTTATATTTGGCTATGTTGAGCCGGTTGAGGACGATTTTATTTATATGTATAATATGAGATGCAGTATATCATTAAGCAATACCTATTTACCTGTTTATTTTTATTCAAACGTGACTATATTTTTAATTTTATCGCTTGTAAAATGTGTACCAAAATGTTATGTTTATTTAAGTTTAAGGTATATTCCCATTTTTACATATAACTGTATAATATTATAACTTATAAGCAATTCCTGATGCACTATTTATTATTTAGATTACCTATTCTTTTTAAAAAAAAATGTTAGGAGTACCTATCTACCTATGTTATAATATGTTATGTATAATAATATCATTATGAATGTATATTGTATATTATTATTTATTTATGTCTTTATTTGTTATATTTTTTTTTTAAATAAGCTATGTATAATATACTATATATAATATTTGTCATGAATGGTGCGAGTTAAACGGAGTTTAAAAAAAAATCGCTTCTAGGTAGGACAAGTACCTATATAGTTTAATTATAGTGGCGCACATGTACCTAACAAATTGTAAAAATATTCCAACAATGCCCAACAAAATTTTAAATAAATTTAAATGAATTATGTAGTAAATCATTGCTTAATGCTTAATGCTTATAAAAAAAACCGTGACTAAGGATTTTTAATATTTTTCATCTACCTTTGAAACAATATACTAGGAGCCTTCTATTAAGTTGTCAAGCTTTTTTAACCAACAAATAAAATTTTATTGTTATTTTTAGAAAAAAAACTAAAAAAAAACGGAAAATTAAAAAGTTCCCAAACAGTCCAAAACGAATCATAATATTTTGAAAATTGTATGGTGTATAGAAAATGCAAATATAAACAACCAGTGAAAATTTCATGTATTTACGATAATTTGTTTTAGAGTTACACCAAAAGCCAAAATCGATTTTGTCAAAAACCAATTTTGAGTAAAACTTCCCGTTTTCCCTTAATTTTTATATTGTTTTTCCCGGCGCTTGTGAAAACTGTTGTGAATTTTAAATGTTGACCTCCCCAATGCACAAACGATATTCACTTTCCAATCAAACAAGATACTGAAGTTGAAAATCGAAGCATTATTTCGACTATTTGTAGTGTACACAGACACAAAAATAAAAAATAAAAAAACACACATCATTGTAAAATCAATACATTCATTGTTCCACTCAGAATCTAAAACAAAAAATTTAACAAAAGAATAATTTATAATAGTAAAGTTTAAAGTTTTTTACAATTTTTTGGGTAACGTTTTGAACTGTTGACCTACACCTAATTGTTAGAATAAAATTGATTAAGAGTATCCACCTAAGTGTTATTTTGAATTTGCAGAGACATAGGACAGGGGTTTGGTTAGTGCATGGAGACATTTGAATTGGTATATTCGGATTTTATTGACGGTAAACTGCAGGTAGGTAGTAACTGCTCTCTATAGCTAAATAGGAAATACCATAATTTGGTTTGAGGAGCAGAATGAAAATGTAATAATATTTATTTTAATCGTCATGGATTCATGGATTCTCCAACAATGTGACGATTTACCACCATTAATAATTTTTGTAATGTGTATCCTAAAATCCTAACGAAATTTTCGAATATTATTAGTTTTTTGAAATTAATGTCGTTAACAAAGCTTGAAAATGTAATATAATGCTGCTAATATATTGTTCCAACTTCCAATAGCAGTTACAAAATATAAAAAAATCAATCATAATTTTTTTAAAACATTTAAAGTTTGAATTTCGATAAAAAACGTAAAAATCAAGTAAATTTGCAAATTATTTTTCTATACCTAAATGTAAAAAAAAAATGTTATTCGTTGAGTCAAAAATTTTGAAAATGTAACAACAAGATTCCTGATATATTGTTACAATAGCAGTTGAAAAACATTAAAAATACATAGGCACGTTTTTTTTTATAATCATATAAAATTCAAATGTTGACAATATTTATCAAATTTGAAATATACAAATTATTTTGTAGTCAAAAATTTATAAAATTTTCAACTTTTAAAACTAAGATTTGAATATTTATAACAAGGTTGCACATAATTAGTTAAATCTGTAACTAAAAAATCTAAAAAATATATAGGTATATACAATTATTTTTTATAGGTTTTTCAAGTTCACGTTTTAACGAAATTACGTAATAATAATGACCAAGAATAACGATTTTAGTTATTTTATATTATTTATAAACGTTATTAATAATACGTAATAATAATATATTTATAACACAGTGGGGTACCGGTTAATGTGATCACATTGATTCAGGCCATTTTGATTCTATTAACCAGTTGATTCCATAAAGCATATTTTTATCAATATAATATTTGGTTTGGAATTTTCAATGGTTGATTCTATAAACCAATGATCACATTAAGCAGAACCAGTGCCGTAACTAGGCTACTTGAGGCCTGTGTGCAATTTTTAGTCAGCAGACAAAAATTCGAGCTTAAACAAAAAAAATTTTTAATTTTAAATAATTTATAATTTTAAAACAATTTCTCAAGGCTATAATATACTAACTCAAAAAATTAAAAATTTTCCAAAATGTAATTTATTGAAAATATTAATAAAAATATTTGGTGAAAACTTCAATGGTCTACGGTTATTAGTTTTCGAGTTATACCAAAAAATAAAATTTTTGGTTTTAGGTAAAAATGACAATTTTTTTTTTTATTGCAGCTTTTTAATATCTAAAACTAAAAATTTCGGTTTCGATCTCCAAAAAGTACCAACTAGATTCACTTTTCTAACAGAAAAAATGCTGATCTCGAAATTCGGAATATTTTTACTAACCAATGTTGATGACCGACAGAAATGAAAACAATTATACACATCTTGTAAAATCAATACATTTGTTCGTTCCTCTCAAAATCTAAAAACAGTGATCGCGACGAATATAAACAAAATGAAATAACATTGGTTTCGTTTCCAAATCAATAATAAATAATTATAGATTTTAACAATTTTATATTAGTTTAATATTAGTCTTTAGATCTTTTGAGGCCCTTCGATATATTATGAGGCCCGAGGCTTGTGTGTGGTGCACACTTTGCACACCCGGTTTTTACGGCACTGAGCAGAACTCACTGTATATCCTAAACTGACAAACCGTCTCTGCTCAGAATCATTCTTTAACAATAATAAAGCAGAGCGACATCCACTTACCGGCTTTTTTCTTTATTTATTAAAATGGTAAATTTATAATTTGTAGTACCTATGTGGAATAATTTACACGATTAGGTAGGTACAAGGTTTGAGGAAGGAGGCTGTTCAGTGACAGAACCCTCAAAAGGAATATGTACAATCTGTAATGTTTTTATTACCTATATAAAAAGTAATTACTAACTATACCTTTTTTAAATAATATTTAAAACTATATGATACATTTTACATTTTAATAAAATAAAAATAAAAACAGAAATATACATAATAGTCTAAGTTGCCTAACAATACCTAATTAATTAAAAGTAGGCAATTTTATTTTTTTAAATTCCAAATCATAATGAGTACCAACCAACTTACATATAAAAAAAAAATTATAAAACTTTATAAACATTATTATAAAATTTAAAAAAAATTTAAGACATTAAAGCCCGTATGCCTAATCAATTTCTGTGGGGGCGGATTGGCCGAGCGGTCTAGGGCGTCGGTTGCAAAGCAGCCGGCGTCGGCTTGATTCCTTGGTCACGGGCGGCATTTTGCTTCGGGCAAGTCATGGTGTTCGGAGAACAAGTGCCACCATCCCCCACTCGGGGCATGGCAGAAACGGACGGGTGCCCCATTAGAAATTCTGCCAAAACACAGCACACATGTGTACCAACCTACCCAATCTACAAATCTACAGTTCCCTCCACACACCCAATGATCTATGTTGCCGCGGGTTCTCCAATAAAAAAAAAAAAGTCAATTTATGTGTTACATAATACAATATTGAATATAGCAAACATAACTGATGACACATAAATTGTACATAATTTTTTTTTCATGATTTCAAGTCTTTACAAAATAACATTTTTTGTATCCTTAAATTTTTTAAGTTTTTACTTTTTTGAACTACGAATTCCAACATACGTTTAATTTTCATCTTCGAAGCAGAATATTTTTCCGAGTATTTCGATACATAAAAATTGAATTTAGGATGAGTAGTTTATAAGTTATAAGTATTTAGAATTTAGATGAGCAGAGTAGTGAACAACATTTAGGTAGGGGATTTTTTTTACTATTAATTAAAAATGTGCTTTTATTAAAATATCAGTTAATTATTAAAATAAACTATACATCACCATGTAAATAATTTAAAGTTCACTAGACATCAAGTTATAAATAACAACATCAATGAAAACAATTACTTGTAATTTTTTCTTAGCTCATCAAACTACATATAGTGATTTATAAAGTAATGTTGGAAAACATTTCTTCACATTTTGTTTGCTTAGATGTTTCATATGGTGGAATAAATGTAGAGAAGTTTATCTCCAAATCCATAAGTTCCAAATATAACTCAGGCATACGACAATCTAAAACTCTACTACACTGATGCATGAGCCATAAAAAAGAGTATGGTAACTTTTTTTCAAATACTTTATTTGTTTTGGAAATTTCTGCTCTTTTTAAAATGTCTTTATTAATGTGGATGTGCCAATAATTTGAGCCAGTTCCTAAAAATATTGTATTTGGTTTCTCTTCATATAAACTATTTGTAGTTTCATTTTGTTTATTTCTATATACTTCTTGATTTACTAAACACACTGTAGTTTGAGAATTATATAATGGTCTTGCTACAGTATCTCTACCTCTTTGTTTCGCATAATGTAACGGACTTCTGCCGTTTACTTCTACAGGTACACCACACTCATCAGCTAAATCATTGATTCTGTAATAAAAAAAAATGAATACATTTTTAAAATTATTATGTATGTGAAATGTGAGTAAAAATAAATTAAATTCTACACATTAGGTTTTAAATTATTGATTTTGTTACACACAGAATATAATCATCATATAAGATAATGTAATAAGCTCAAAGTTAAAGAAATTGAGAAAGAGTACATCCATTGAATGTTGGATAGGTACTACAAAACTATATTATACTTTAATCACATTAAACTCAGTTTACTTTAGGTTTTTTATTAACTGAATAAAATAAATAAATAAATAAATAAAAAATAATATTTACTCATGAATTGCATAAAAATGTATTAATTTAATGGTTCTCTTAAATTTAATGGAAAAATTATGTGCTACTAAATAATGTTTAAGGGACTATTATCTCATTATTGATTCATTACATTAAATGCATAAGATTGTTTATGCAACCTTGCGTTCATATATTTTATCATAAAATGACAACATTTTAAGCATTTTACACTCAATAGGACGCTACACCAGTATAATATGTTGTCCCCATCTAACAAGTGCTATTAACAATTTAACCTCAGCAGTTCATGTTTAGCATTGTTAGTCTAAAAATTAGAATGAATAAACATATTATGAAACTCAATGCTAAAAACATTGTCTGTGCTCGTATGACAGTATTTTATGATATTTCAGTAAGTGAGTGAGTTACAAGTATTTTTAAATAGCACTATTTTACATATAAAAGACTTGCTAAAAAATGTTACATACAATGACAGATCATTTTCTTACCATTAAGCCTCATAATAAGTTGATTTACTCAAATTTTAAAACTAACAAAGCATGAACTGTTGAGCATACAATTTTCACATTATGCGCCTATAAGACGAAGACAACAAATGTAGGAATAGCGTCCCCTTTATAAGTGTTTAAACAATTAGGTATTTAAAAATTTTATGTCTATTTAACAGTTTATAAGTATATTCTGTAATTTATATGATACTATAAAGTATAATTATTACATAAATACCTTTTTTCATCAGTTAGATATAAGATATCAGTTTGAGTAAAATTATTTTCTAGTATTGTTTTTGCTTCATTACTTAATTCTATTGAATAATATTCAACTATCCATTTTAAAGTTGATGACAATGGTTTAGTTGAGGCAGGAATTTCTCTATAACTTTTTTTTCTTCCAAAATCAGGTAATGATTTAAGTAAACATTCAGTGTTGTCCCTAAAATTTTTACATATTTTGTCTCCTGCTCAATAATAAAAATTATAAAAAAAAGTATTTAGTTAAATGATACAATACTTAAGTCTGTGGTTCTCAAACTTTTTTGTTCACAGAGTCCTCCAGTTGCTAAAAAACAAAATATCAAGTCCCAAAAATAGATTACCAATTAACCAAAAAAAAAATGATAAATCAATAATCATGATGAATATTATAATATGCAACTAATAATATTAAATTTGATTTAAATCGGATGTGTCCATTGAGCACTAGGTGCTCTGATCCTGGCGGAATCCTAGATCTCTACAGAGCACTGTTTGAGAACCACTAACCTAATTTAACACAGATTATGACTATTACTTTCTATTACAGGTAAAGTTGGCTTCATCATATTCCAATCGTTGATAAATAATTGAGTGTTGCGTATATTGTTTCCATACAAATTTTCATGCAGATAATAGTTATATTTAGATACGATACAATTTCTAAATTCTATATATTGCACATAACCATTCCAGCTGAACAGTTTTTTGTCAACTATATCTGATCTAAAATAACATAATAAAATATATGCATGTGAAAAATCTTAGGAAATTAAATGTTGAAGAATACAGTATCTTATAATCTGCTGATACAACCAATGCTTATAAGTAGGGTTCGGATTTGAAGGCAATATAATCAATAAAAAAAGCATTTAAAATGTAAAAAAAGGCAAAAAAAGGCATTTAATTTATATAAAAAGGCAATTCATAAATATACTACAAAATAAAATAGTGAACATTTTTTAAACACTTTTAAATGCACACATTTTGAGAAAAATACAAATTAAAAATGAGCATGAATACTAAACTACATTAAGTTTATGCTATTTTGTATAAATAGATTAGGTACCTTTTTCTTTAACCAGGTTTGTCCTAAGAATTAGTTAAAAACAATTTTAAATATTAACTTACTTGAGTTATACCAGTTAATTTAATGCAAAATAAACAAAAGGTAAAAAAAGGCAAAAAGGCATTTATAAGTAAAAAGGCAAAAAAAGGCAAAAAAAAAGATCCATTCTCTAAGAAATTAAATGAAACACGTACAAAAATTATTTTTCTATTATGATTAATAAAAAAAAGGCATTTGCCTTCGAATCCGAACCCTACTTATAAGACATAACATTATTTGTTTTTCGATTAAAAGCACATTTTATTTTGCAAGTTGGGATGCAGAGAAGCCAAATGTATAACATAGAATTTTTAAATACAATTTTAAGACATATGGGTCCTGACCAAAGGACTGTGGTTTTAAAAATAAAAAAAATAATAACATACTGGTTAATTTTTTCAGCAAAGTCTGAGGATAAGTTTTCTGAGTTACCATCAAGACAAAATAAAAATTTTGCAGCAAAAAGTATGTAAGCCATTAATTTAACTTCTATGTCTGGTAATATTCGGTTACATTTAGTGCTTGGAGGAGATATTGACACAAGTTTGCAAACAAAATGTGTAAAATCATCTAATTAAAAAATTCATACAATAATAAAAACAATAAATAAAATGTTATTGATAGAAAAGTAATAATCACTTGGAAGTTGTAGTTCATCAGAAAAACGTGTCAGTATTTTTTTAAAATCAATAGTAGGTAGTTGTTCAGCTTTTAAATGTTTCAATAACATGTGGAATTCCATATTTAATATAGTTCTGGAACAAGGCACCATTTGATTAAATTTAATACCGTGCTTTGAATTTACTGGTAAAAATAAGTTAACACGATTTATATGCAAATGTCCTTCATGAATCCATCTAATAAAAATAAAATCAAAGTAAAAATATTTATTTTGCAGCATGCTATACATTTTATGATTTTTACTTTCCATAACATAAATTGGTTTACCTAAGTATATCAGATAGGTAAATATCATCTTCGTTGATCATAAGAGCTAATTGCAATATAGATAGTAGTTTTTTAATAGATAAAACATTCTTTTTTTCTTTATTTTTTAAACTGGCCCAATATTTACTGCCAGATTCCAAAAGTTTTAACGATTCTTCAGTAGTAAGGTCTTTAGTCTTTGATGGCATCGAAGTTAAAGATTTTTTTATATTTTTTTTAAATTTAATTCTGAAATAAGAAATTTGTTAAGCCGGTGTATACAAATATTATAATTAATAAATATTATATCTTACTTGATTTTACGTGACTTATTACTTCTTTGCAATAAACTTATATCATCTGATAATCCTACAGAGTCGTTATTTGAATCTCTTGCAGAGTGGTCTAATTTTTTTATTTTTCGGCTAAACTGTAATTTATTTTTTTCAAATAATTAGTTTATAATATTTAATAATTAATCAATAATTTACCATATTTCGTTTATTAAGGCTTGTCATACTAGAATTAATACTAGACGTCAATGATTTTCTTTTATTGGAACATCTATTTTTTTTATTTCCTTGCACCATACCAATTTTTGCATGTAGAATTTTGTTTTTCACATTTTCAACTCCATATAAAATTTCACAGTCCCTGAAAATGAAATCTTTAAATTTATTATGTAATTACTAATATAATATTCAGATAATTACCACTAAAAATTGTTTTGGTGTTATGCATAATAGTAATTTGCAGATTTTTTCTTGTAATCAATTGTATATCAATAAACTTATACAGTTGAACGTGATTAACTCAAACTTCTTTAACTTGAAATTGTCAATACTTCAAACTACTTCCCCGGTTCCTTTTATTTCCTATAATTGTATTATTCTTGGATAACTAGAATTTCCCCTTCAACTTCGAGTTAACCACGTTCAACTGTAATTATATTTGTCTGTTATATATAATAATGGTTATTATCTGAATATTAATTGACTATTGATGTTACAGTAATATTCATAGAATAAATTGGTAACAATAATTTTAATTTAAATGATTTTATCTTACATATCAATTATTGTTGTATTTAATTTTGGAAGTTTCTTAAATTTCTTTGATGTAAATGCAACTTCAATGCATTGTAAATATTGAACCCATAATTGTAACACTATAAGTTTTAAGCTAGGTTTAGCTCCGAGTTCAATCATCTCATTGGTAAGTCCTAAAAGTATAAAATTATAACATTCCCAAGATAAAAGTTTCTTAGGTTTTTCTAGTTGAGATCCAGTCGTTATTTCATGATCTACATGTGTTGGATCTTCATAGTTCTGATTAACATCTTCATGAAAGTTTATGTGTTCTTCTCTAATACTCTGTAAGATTAAAATGCAAATAAAGAAATTTTAAATGATATATTACAATTAAAAAAAAAAAAACTTATAATTTGTTTTTGTAAGAAGATATTTTAATGAAAGTTATGTTAGTAAGCAATATTTTTTGATAAAACATCCTTTTTTAACCAGTGTCTTAAAATACGATATAATTCAACTTTATAGTACCTATATCTTAATACCTCATAACTAGGTATAATAAACCTAATTTTAAACAGAAAACAATAACTTTTATATTATACAATATAATATTTATATTTCTTTAGAAAAACAAATTATTAAATTATACTCGCTTACTTGAGACTGTATTCCGCATTCGTTACATACAAATGCACCATCAGTAACAGTAAAATTGTTACAACCACAAACAAAACATTCATTAGCTTGCATATTGCTTGGTATTAATTCCAAATAAATAATAATATAGATAATCTGTCTTCTACGATTTCAGGTATTTCATTATGAAGCCATTTTAGGTTCAGACTAATAAGTAAAATCTAATAACAAAATAACGAAGAAATGTATACAATTGTCAAATGTCAATAATTATTAGTGTACAATAATATCACAGAATTGAATATGGATCTTATCACATTTAAAACGGCGGGTTTGTTGATAACATGAATCACTATGCTTGAACAGTGAACACAGGGTGATTCATTAAGCTTAAAACACTCATTATCTCATAAAATATTAATGTTTTTGAAAATATTTTGTTAAGTACATAGTTTCAAGTTGTAAAAAAACAACGTTTTTATAAAAAATCATATTTTTAAATATTTTTTATCCTTATATTTGTTTAAGTTTTTTACTTTTTTGAATGACAACATAGAGTTTTAATTTCATTTTTCAAAGCACAATATTTTTCTAAATATTTTGATACAATATACAAATCGAATTTAGGACGAGTAGTTTAAGAGTTTTAAGTATTTAAAGTTTAGACAAGCCGAGTAGTGGACAAACATTTTGAGGGGTTACACCATACCACTCTACTCCGCCAATCAAAACTTAAAGTACCTACTTATAACTCTCGCCCTAAATTCGTTTGAGATTCTGAGTGAAACGATAAATGTATTGATTTTACAATGATGGGTGTTTTTTTTCCATTTTTGTTTGTGTCTGTCGTCACCTTTTAGGACAGTATAAGTGCTTAGATTTTCTTCAACAGTATCCTTTCTGAAGACTGAAAGGAAAGTGAATCTAGTTGGTACTTTGAGGGTCAAAATTAAAATTTTTACAGTAGTTTTCAAAAGCGCCGTGAAAAACAAAAGAAAAATTAAGGGAAACGGGAAAATCGATTTTGGTTTTTGGTTCAACTCTTAAACAAATGACCGCTAGTACATGAAATGTTGACTGAAAGTTTAAATTAGCATTTTCTATACACCATAACATTTTCCAAATATTTTGAGCTGCTTCAGACATTTTAAGTTTCCATTTCTTCTATAAATATCAATAACATTTTATTTGTTGGTTAAAAAAAACTTGAAAATTTAATAGAAGGCTCCTAGTATACTGATTCAAAGGCACATGAAAAAAATTAAAAATCCATTGTCACAATTTTTTTTTATAAGCATTTAAAGTTAAAATATTGACAAAATACGTAAAAATGACGAACATTTGCAAATTATTTTGAGTTAGAAATTCATTAAAATGTTCTTTTTAAATCTTAGATTTTAAAATGTAATACAAGATTACTCATAAGTCTGTCTACCTTTATCAAAAAAAAAATTTCTAGAAGACAGTTAAATTAAATTTTTATGAGCGTTCGATATTTATATTTTTACATAATATTATTCACTCGATTTCTCTTGTAACGATTTTCTTACTTTGTTGTAACTAAAAAACGAATAACTGTAGATACATGAAAATTTCACTGAATGTTTATTTTATCATTTCCTATACACAATAAAATGTTGACTCTTTTTGAGCTGTTTACGGACATTGTCAGTTATCAATTTCTTTAGTTTTTTTTTCTATAAATATAAATAAAAATGTATTTGTTGGGTACAAAAGCGTGAAAATTTAATGCATGGCTCCTGAAATATTGTTACAATAGCAAATAACAAATAAATAAACATTCATGGAAAATTGCATGTATCTACGGCAATTTGTTGTAGAGTTAGGTACACCAAAAACCGATTTTGCGTAAAAATTTCCGTTTTTCCTTAATTTTTTCTTTTGTTTTTTTCCGACGCTTTTGAAAGACACTGGGAAATTCTTTCTTTTGACCCCCCAAATCCCCAAAATATCAATTATATAAATTCACTTTCCTACCAGAAAAGGTAAGCATTTTTACTGTTCTACGCCGATAGGCCCATACGAATTTAGTAGGTATACCTACATATATGTGGGAAGGCCGCACTATACCTACATATTAATTAATTCCATATATTACATAGAATATAAGTGTTCATAATTATGAATGGTAAAACAAATCAATGCATAGGCCAATATCATAGACCTATAATATAATGGGCAGCGCATTCCACTCTGTCCTGCCATCAATGCTAAGCGATTATCTATAACTGTTTAACCACAGAACAATAACTGAGAGAGAAAGGAATCTAGGAAAAAAAATCCCCGGATAAAAAATCCCCAGATAAAAAATCCACAGGAAAAAAAATCCTCATATCTATAACTAATAGTTGGATACAGCTGTAAAAGTGTAAAAAATAATATTAAATACCTAGGTAATAAAAAAAATTAATAAATAATAAATAATTTTTTATTAAATTAAATTAAATTAATTAATTAAATAATTTTAACATTTATTTTTCAATAAAATACTATTTATACCTAGTATTTTAAATTTTTAATAATATAAATAGTGATACGAATTACGAGTACTCGATTCAAAGCGAGTACTGGTAGTTACAAGTACAAAAAAATTTTTAGTTGAGTCGAGTCGAGTACTCGAACTCGACTCGAAAATTTTTCCTAGTATGTAATGTAACAATATAGTAGGCAGGGCCGGACTGGGTCAACAATTTCTACCGGGAAAATAAAAAAAATTGTCCCACTTAGGTATACCTATAAAAACAACCTTAAAAACATATTTTTCCGAGCATAAATGATTATAAATGATCATGACTCAATGAATTTCTTATTCTATTGAGAATATATTTCAATTTTGAAAACATTCTTTCACAAGCTACTTGTGTTGACGACAGTGATAGAATGAATTTGTATGCAAAAAATAGTGTCTTGTAAGCTTCGCTGTACAGATTATATTTCAGTAGTACTATATAGCAACACAAAATACAATTTCGACACGCTTTAATTTTATTACATAATATTGACGATTTTTTTTCAATTTCTAAATTAGAATTGTTAGTGCTTTCTTTTAGTTCTAATTGCTGTTCCTCGTCAATAAAATTATCAAATTCGTGCTCTTCATCAAGTTTTAATTTTAAGCGGTCCCATTTTGAAGAAAAGTCTTGTAGTTCATATAACAAGTTAGCTTTTGTTATACTCTCGTCGCGATTTACTAAATGCTCAACTAATTTTGTAAATTAGGCGCAAACGTGCGTTACGATAAGAAAGTGATAACCGATTAACGATCGGTTTTTGGCAATTTATACATTTGTTCATACCTATTTTGAGGAATTTCCTTAATATTTTATCGCACATCCATGTTCAAGGTTAGATTATATTCGCAATTCAATCGCATTAGAAAATGTGTCTATGTCTATTGACAGAATGTCTCAACCAATAAACTTTTTAAAAAAACGCACCTACAAGCACAAGTGGCCCAAATTAAACGAGCGGCCCACCGGGAAACTCCCGGTATCCCGCCTGCCCAGTCCGGCTCTGATGTAGGTATGTAAAAACAATGTTATTGTATATTAAAATAAAGTTTACCATTTTTATCTGCAGAATGATTATGTTAGTGGATTTCTCTTGGATTTTTTATTGTGTGGGATGTTTTTAAAATAACTGGACATTTGAATGAACTAAATTTTGAACATCTCCATCTAAATCATCTAATAAAATACTTGCAATCTTTTTGACGTACGTACATAAAATCTTTGAAACAAACTATCATTTCCATGAGTGGATTTAATTATTTCAATAACACTATTCATTTCAAAATTCTTCAACACTCTTTATAACACTATGTGGGAACTAGAGAAGTATACTGACCGTCTAAGGTGTATTGTACCGTAATAATATATCGTTAGCAATATTGGCGGCCCGCGAAGTGGTAATAAATAGACCACCAATAATATTTTTCTAGACTATAAGTTCAAGAAATGTCGTCAAATTATTTGTTAATCATACTATAGTGATTTCAATACGTCGCTATAATATCTTTATCTGTCTAAAATGCGATTACGTCTGTTATGCGTCCTGGACCGAAACTAATATGTCAGTCGGTACCTATTATATCGTAATCGCAATCGCATTTATTAAGAGGTCGTTACACCGACATATTTTGTTGTCTCCATTTAAGATGTACAGTTAAATATAAGTAAACTTAGCAAACACAACGAAGCAAACTTAGGGGATTTTTTTTCCGGGGATTTTTTTTCCGAATACCCATGATCCAGGGCACCATAAATGATTCTTATAGGTACTTACGTAAGATTTAAATTTTAAGTCATAGACCTATTCAGTTGAAACGCATAATATTATATTATTTATATTTATAATTTATGATTAATATATATTATATTATAATAATAATAGCCAGTAGGTCTATAGGTAATTTAAGTTTATCTTAAATCGTGATTAAACTTAAATTTATTATCTACATATTCTGTGTGGCGGGCCAAGTCTCTATTCCATGGTTGTATTATTAAAATACGTCTTATCTTTTATATACGATGGTTATTTTTCCATGATAATATTTCACTACGAGTTATCTCTCCAACTTTTGTTCAATATCAAAAAATGTTATTGAAATAATAATTATTAATTTTAGATTGTGTTATGTATACTACTATTTTTTAATATTTATTATTTACGTTATACAATCATAATATACGTTTAAGTTTTAAGTTGTAGCTTTTAAAAATTGCTTTAAATTTATCGTAGTACGTAGAATGTTCATCAGCTTTACGTACGGATTTCGTATTGGTGTGTTGAGAAATCTTTCATTTTATTACAGTAATTCATTTTTGTTAACTAAATATTGTGTTCAAATTGTTTTTCCCAAGTTACTTTGTTTACATAATGAAGTTAAAATGGTTTTTTAGTCGAATTCTTATGTTATTGCATCGTGCTGGACACCTGCAAAAATATAGGAATCTATAGATTCTTAAACTAATTTATGTTAACAGCGTAATGAGTATTAACTAATTAAAATAATTCACAAGTAATATATTGTTTTGTATTTGTGTCTTACATTAATATACTTGTTCAATTATTATAGTGTTAATTGAACAGCCATAAAATATCGCTTAAAAGCCTGTGATTCTACGATGGAGCAGAACAACGATACATTAGGTGTCGAAGATGTTGTGTTTATGCTGCTTGAAACATTGAAGTCTAATGGCACATTTGATGAAATCCGTAGGCATTGTATTACTGATATCGATGCTAAGGTATAACACATAAATAATTAAAATAATTTATAATGTTTGCTTTTAAAATGTTGAGTTATTACCTTACTATAGGTACTACTACTATAACTAAGTAATATCACTACCTTATTATTTTTGTAAAAACTGTTTCTCTACTTGTTTTTAATTTAATATTATAAATAAGTAATATACCCAATTCATATAAAATAAACTTATATAAATGTAATTAGAATCATAAAAACTACTTGAGCAGTTGAGCACATCATATTCTTATAAAATTAAATATTTTATTTGCTTTTGTTTAGGTAATGATTTTATAAACATAATAATGGTTTACTAAATGTACAGCTGCTCTAATTTAGTATAATTCTTATGTATATTAAATATTATGGTTTATTACCCAATTTTTATTTTATTAAGTGATTGTATATCATTGATAATTGCCTATTCTTTGTTTGTTCATACAGCCAACTTACCAAAATTGGAAACAGCGCATAGAATCAAATGTCAACAAATTTTTAAGTAAACAGAAATATACACCGGAATTAAATAAAAACACTGTTCGAGAACGTCTTAGAAAACATTTACTTGATGGGTATGTATTTATAATTTTAATTTATCAGTTATCATTAAAATTAATTCTGGCTAAATTTAAGGTTCATACTTTATTTTTATTTTTTTATTAAGTTTTAAAAAATTTTAATATTTTTAAAATGTTGATGAAATAAATTATCGTAAATTATTCATTTTTTTTTCTTTTTAAATATTTTAAATTCTAATAATCAAAATCATTAAAATATTCTTATTAGTTTTCCATTTGTTAAATGTTTACTTTGCATAATTAGTATTAATGTTACTAATTTATTACTTTTTATTTATAATTTTATAATATTATGTTATATTTACTCATTATTCATTAATTTATATTTCTTTAAAATAATTAATAAATAAATATGTACTTTTAGACGTGAAACTCAGGATATTGAAGAAGGAGCTGATAGAATCCTTACTCAAGTACTTGCACCTCGTTCATTAAGTATTTTTGAACCTAAAATAGCAGTTGCTGTTGATGAATACTTGGGAATCAAAAATGAAGCACCTCCAATTGAAGTCAACGGTATGTCTAAAACTATATTTTATAATTTTTATATTACGTACCTATAATTCATGGCTGAGTAAATGAGTATTTAGATATGTCACCCAAAGAATATATTTTCCTTGCTTAGAGGAACTAACCCTCTGCCTTGCACAAAGTCTTTTAACATGACTATAAATGACAAAATATAAAGACATTGACACAGATAATGCAGTATGATCAAAATATGCGCAACACCTCCATAACAGGCCATTGGCTAATGTTGTAGTTCTCCACTTTTGATTGGTCGAATTATTTCCTTATATCATTAAAAAATAATTAAGAATAAGAACAACATACCTAGGTCAAGTTATGGTACTTATATATTGTATATTGGACCACATTTTATTCAATGTTCATTTAAAAAAATAGTGTTATGTAATAAATTCATATAGGTACTATAATGTAGTCACAAGTTAATTATGACACATTGTAATTTATAACATACTTTTTAACTTTTTTTTTGTAACAACATGCAAATTGCTGAATATATTAAGAAACCTGGTTTGTTATTAACATTAAACTTTTATTGTATCTGATGCTTTATTATGTTTAAAGTATTGAGAGGATGTCATACATATCATTAGTATTGTATCTAATCTCTGTCTTACAAATGTAATACATAGCAAATTTGGGACTAATTTTGTGTTATAAGCTTTAATATTATATTGAATTGATCCATTATAAAACTTAAGAGTAATAACATTGTCCAAAACATTGTCTGTATTTATACTTTGGGTACTTACAATATTTTCATTTTTTAATTATTATATTTAAATATGTATAATATGATAAAAAATTAAACTGTAAAGCTAACTTTCAAACTCAATTCACAGACGATTTCCTTACTTTTAAGTTTTATAATATTAACCCAAAAGTAGACCTGCTGAGAGCAAAATTGCTTATTAATTGCTATAAGACAGAGACAACATATGCGGGTAAGACGTCCTCTTAGTTGTTATTAATCATAATAAATGTAATATTATAATCTTTTTATTTTAATTTCTTAACATTGAGATTTAAAAGGTCTAATTTTATTATTTTAGTTTCAATATTTACTTAAAAAAACATAAATTAAATTTTATCTTTAAAAATTTGTTTATTTGTTTACATTTATATGGTACTTATCGGTTATCACGACTACCATAATTGTTCAGTAAAAAATAAACAATTTGGTTATCGAAAGATTGTGGGGATCCTCTAAATGGTGCAAAAAGATACATAGAAGTCAGGCTGGTCAAAATCTAGACAGTGATTTGATTAAATTCATGTGGCTTCAAAAGCACGATAATCCATTTATCGGCATTTTAAATTGCATAGCTGAACATGTTCCCCCTCGAGTTAATTATTCCATTTCTAATATTGAATTGTATTCCTAGTTTTTATAATAATTTTTAATTCATTTTTTTAAATTATGCTGCGTAAAGGTAGTCGCTATAACCAAATTATTTATTTATTACTAAACAGTTATTTGGTTAGGTAGTCGCGATAACCGAAAAGTACCATTTATATTATCAAATAAAACAATATTTTAATAACATTGTAGTTTGTATCAATGAATCATTAATTTTAATTACAATAAAATCATATATTCTTATGTATTATTTTTAGGATTAAAAGAATCTACTATGAATTCAATAAAAGCATCTAATATTGAAATTAGCACTGTTCTTAATCCTAAAATAGGCAAGTTAATTATACATTACCTATTAGTTCTTATGTTAAAAAATTCATTTTTTACTTATGAAATTATAATACAATTTACAACTTTATTTAGATTTTATCCCAGATGCTGATAACATCGCATGTGATACAACACTAAAAGGTGATAGAAAAGACTTGAGATCAGACAAAAAAGAAAAATCTTCAAGTCTTTGTAAAGAGCCAAAATCATTAAACGGCAATCAAAGTGAAGATGAAAATGATGCAGGAGGATCTTCAAAACAAAAAAGTAGCCAACACAAAAATAAAACTTCTACATCTGACAAGTCTAAGTCTTCCTCTAACAATCATAAAAGTAGTAAAAAAGATAATAATTGTAAAGAAGTTGTTGAAAAATCTAAAAATCTAATTGAAAAATCTAAAGATGTCATTAATAAGCCTAAAGATGTCGTTAATAAGTCCAAAGATGTTAGTAAGCCTAAAGATATTGTTGACAAATCTAAGGATATTGTTAATAAGCTTAAAGATGTTAGTAAGTCTAAAGATACTGTTGATAAATCTAAGGATATTGTTAATAAACCTAAAGACATTGTTGATAAACCTAAAGACATTGTTGAAAAATCTAAAGACAATGTTAATAAGCCTAAAGACATTGTTGATAAGCCTAAGGAAAAATCATTTTTGTCAAAGAATTCTAATAGTTCAAGTCATAAAAGTAACCGAACAGATAGGAAAAGAACTAAACGTTCCCTTGAAGAGAAAAAAAAATCGTCTAGTCTTTGTAAAGAGCCTAAATTATTGAATGGTCATCGAAGTGATGATGAAAGTAATTCAGGGGGATCTTCAAAACACAAAAGTACTATACACAAAACTAAAAGTTCTTCATCTGACAAGACCAAGTCGTCCTCAAGTAATCATAAAAGTAGTAGAAGAGATAATAACAGTACAGACGTTGTTGATAAGTCTAAAGACAAATCTTTGTCAAAAAATTCTAGTAGTACTGACATTGTAAATAAATCTAAAGACAAATATTCGTCAAAGATTTCTAATAGAATTGTTGATAAGTCAAAAGACAAATATTTATCAAAGAATTTGAGTAGTACTGTCATTGATAGGTCTAAAGACAAATCTTTGTCAAAAAATTCTACTAGTTCTGACATTGATAAGTTTAAAAAGAGATCTTTGTCAAAAAGTTCTAGTTGTGTAGACATTGTCGAAAAGTCTAAAAACAAATCTTTATCGAAGAATTCCAGTAGTACAGATGTAATTGACAATTCAAAAATTAAATCCACTTTAATAAAAAATACTAAGTGCACAGATGTCGTTGAAAAGACTAAAGACAAATCTTTTTCAAAGAATTCTAGTAGCTCAAGTCATAAAAGTAATCATACTGACACTAAAAGATTTAAACTTTCTCAAGCTGAAACAAATGAATCACCTCCAAATAAAGTTAGTGGTGAAGAAATGAAACCAGAAGAACCAGAAAAGTCCGAATGGAACGAATTTCGAAATTCTATTATGACAAATGATGAACAAGATGCAGCAAATGTATTGTTATCAATGAGTGCAATTTCTTATGAAAGTTCTCATAGTGAAATTATAACGGAAAATATAATTTTTATAGAAAATTCTTCTCCTATTATTGAAACCTTAAATACAACTAAATCAGTAAATGAATTAGAAATTGAAGAAAATTCTGATGAAACAAAAATTCTACCATCTAGTGATAATGATGATATTAAAGAAAACTGTCAATTAAAATCAAATAATTTAGAAGCATCACAGTCATTAAATGCTGTGATAAGTATATCAAACATCAACCATTTGTTTGAGAAAGAATGTTCTGTTGATATTGAAAGATTACCATGTACAGATTTAAAATTATTACAATATAGCTCTGTTAATAGTGTTGAAATAACTGAAGAACACCAAAAACCAGATGAAATAGTAGTGGATGAAAAAGAATTAAAAATATTAAATGATGAAATAAATTTGGAAACAAGTGAAAATGAAAAAAACAGTGAATTTACTAATTCTAATGATATTTTAAAAGTACCAAAACTAAAATTAAAACTATTACCAAACCAAATTGATTCCATAAATAAAATTAAAAGAAAAAAACATCATAAACATAAAGAATCTAAAAAATTGAAACTTACAAAATCATTAGATATTCCTATTGAAGTTAGTGTTTCTGTTAGTGTATCAACAAATATAAATAGTGATAAAATAGACCAAAAATCTAACAATGAAATAGACGTAATAATGAATGATTCTGAGAGTACCTTATCCAATCAAATATTACACAAGGAAATAGAAAATAATAGTGTAAAAGTGTTAGATGATGACGAATCACTTTACACTTTCAAAGGATTTTCTGAAGCAGATGCTATCCCATGTAAAAACTATAAACTATTAAAAAATGTGATCAAAACCTTACAAATACAGATGAATAAACATGATAAAATTGAAAATGGTTTCAAAGGTTTTACCAGTGCAGAAACAAATCCGTGTAAACATCGAGATAATGTTTATGCAGAGCTAATGAAGTTAAAAGAAGGTAAATCCAGTACAGGCTTTATAGGATTCTCAGAAAAAGATACTGCAATGAGTATTGGATATAAATATGTTGTTAAACAACTTGAACTTGCCAAAAAACAAAACAATGTAGGTAATCATCAACAAAATGTGATGTGTGGTGGCAATGGGATCCAGAAAGGGAAAATATTTAATGAAGTTATGGCAGCATATTTATATAAAAGTAACAATGATAATGATGCAAAGTCAAAAGAGAATTACTGCAAACCAATTAATGATACAAAAAAAGATAGTCCTACTGTGAATAATAACAACCACAATCATGACAATTGGGTTGTTGAACAAGAAATGAAATATAAACTTTTACCTGTAAAAGTGAAACTTGAAAGACTAATGGAGTATGAATGTAATAGTGAGTATATTATCTACCATTAAATAGAATGTTTCCTCATCTAAATTTCCTATTTTCAATTGTACTGTATTTTTTTTCAGATGCTAAGCGTGTGTCTGACTCTCCACAGGTACCCATATAATTAACAATAGAAAATAACATTTATAACAAGAATCACGTCTTCAATTATTTCTTCAAAAATATTTGAAAAAAGGTATGAAATATCTTGATGAAAATATAGCCAATTATATAAAATATTTATACATTTATTTAGCCAAAATTAAGTTTTCTTTTACAATAATCAATTGTAATTATTAACTAAAATGACATTCCCATAATGTTTAAAATTATTTAATTTACCTTCACAAAACATAAAAACATAAAATATTTACATACTATTAAAAATTATATTACTTGAATATTAATTATGTGATAATAAACCAAATCATAGACTTTAAATTGTCTATATAAATATTCCCTATAATCAGGAGTACTAAAGTATTTAGCCAGATTGCAGATTACTTGACTTTAAAATTATCTATGAATTACACAGGACCCCATTTTAACATCACATTCCATGAGATTACCTAGATTCTCCACACTATTTAAAATTGTTTATGATTCCTAGATACATTTTTATATACCTATCTTCTAGTTACGAGAACTATTAATTCAAGAATGTGTTAAATATCCTGTTATACATGTTGGTTCTGTGCCTATGTATCATACCTTACAAACTGGTAATACCACAAAGCCAATGCTTGTATGAGAAGCGGTGATTTATAGTGAGACGAAAAAATAGAACAATTAAGACTCATTAATTCTCTAAAATTTTTATACTATACAATAGTTATTAAAAACCCTTTATGTAGAACCGGAGCAAACACACGTACGGCCAGCTCTATGAGCTATAGAAGTACATGGTCTCTACTTTCTATGGATAATAGATCAAATTTAAAATTATTATATTTCTATGTATAAATTGTTTTCTTTTTTTTTTACTTAGGATCAGAAAGAAGTATATTTGTCTAACAGATATGATCAACAAACTCTGAACCTATTTAAGATATGACTGTTCCCTATCTTTTCATTACAATCCACAAAATTAAAATGTATATGTATTAGGTATTTATATAATTTCACTATTTCAGAACCTAAATTTATATTTTATTTATTATAATTTATAATGTTCAATATCATACTATCTGATTAGGAACATCGAAGTAAATTATTTAAATTAAACTAATTATAATAATCTTTCACCAAATGAAAATGAATCTTTTTTCTTCTCTTTTTATATTTTAATTACATTATTTGTATAAGTAAATGTATGTACAATTTAATTTTCTTAAAATACTAAGAAAACAAATTCCTTCATCATAAATTACATTCATTGTTAGTTAACAATCAACTATTAATTGTAAACATGCAATAAAGTACCTTCTGCTTTTATAAAGTAAATACCAAGTACTTTAAAATAAATATCTACACTGCCTGAATTCAATAATATAGTTATTGTTTTGTAATCCTATTGGATTCTTTACAATCCTGTTGTAAATTAAATTATTGTTTTGATCAATATGATGTTATAATTTATCGTAATAAGTTAAGCTAATTTTTACTCATTTTTTTTATATTTATGTACCCACACAACATGTAATATAAATTATGTAAATACTTTTTAAATGTAAATGTAAATTTATTTGTCTATTTTAGAATAAAATTATGTTTTTTTTTTATTTGTACATACTTTGTAATATGTAATACCACTAAATATATACATTTTGTTAAATATGTATTGTTAAAATATAGTGTACATTTTTTTTTAAACTTAATATTTTGTTATTTAAGTTAATTTACACTAATTATATTATTATTAAACAATATTATTGTTATGGAATGCATTTTCTTTTCAGATTAAATTATAAAGTAACAATACCATTTTGCTAATGTTTATTGTATTCATTGTAGATTTTTTTTTATTGGTGGATAGCTTAAGACCAGATCTCGTAATAAAACACGGAGCAAATTTTATGAGGTCAGAGGACAGAGGTGGTTGAATATAAAATATAATTATTAATTATTATATTTGTTATGTTGATTGATGTATGTATTTGCTTATCAATACTCACATTTGACATTTCATAACATATAATATTATAATTTACAACTAAGGTATATTTGTGGTATTAAAAGAAATAACAATGTATATTTATTATTTATATCATTTCAGTACCTACCTAACCTATTTTGCAGGTTAAATGTAAATGTATAGAATACCAAAACATTGTTTGTTGAATTGTAGAAATATTTTATTGTTTGATTTTATTTTGTTGATCAAAATCTCAACAACTAGTTTAAAACTAATCTCTACCGAGTTACCTAATCGAGAAAATAACAAGGTCAAAGTTTTGGGGTATTTATTATAAATATATAAATATTTTTTATTTCAAGATTTTATTTATTAAAATAAATATTAAAACCAAAAAAATGTCTTCCACTTATAATTTAACTTTTACCTATTAAAAGTTTAAAACCCAAAACACCTAAAATTTAAAATGATTAGGGGGAGGGGGGAGGTATCAGATCTTTGAAAATGTTCGATGGATCGAGGAATAAAAATGATTGGGAAACACTGGGCTATAATAGGTACTTCAATATTTTAAAAAAAACCTATGTTCCTAAACAATTTACAGAAAAAATATTAAAAAAATAAGAAGTTTGTATTGTTATGTTCAGGACACCCCTATGAGGTATAGGAAGGACTAGAAAGAATACAAAGAAGATTCATACATGACTATATATTGTATTACTGTTACTTATTTTATTTTAATTTAAAAATACAAAAAAAATAAACGAGTCAAAATTCTAACTAATATTATCGAGTATATTATGTAAAAAAAAATAAAGTTGCATGTATATGATTGTGATATGCACTAAGTCATTCCATTTACAAATTAAATTTATCTAATAAAAAAAATGTTGAGTTTATTTTTATTTATTACTTGCTATCAAACCAATATTGCACCAACAAATATGTATAACACTGTAGAAAAATCTATATAATATAATCGTTCGATATGAAAAGAAATTGTTTAAGAAATCCATGCTACCTATGTCGTAAAAATATAAACTTCAAACACTCATAAAAAAAATAATTCAACATTCTAGTAAACTTTATTTGTTAAAAGTAGAAAAACTTATGTGGAATCTTATATTACATTTTAGATTCTGAGAGATGTATGTGCATTGATTTTACAATTTTTTTTTTTTAAATTATTTTTGTGTTTGTGTTAATTGGTGCAATTGGGAGGTCAACATATAAAATGAGTAGTTTTCAAAAGCACTGGGTAAAACACAAAAAAATTCAGGAAAAATGGGAATTTTTACACAAATTTGGTTTTTAACAAAATCGATTTTAGTTTTTGGTGTAACTCTAAGACAAATGACCGTAGATTTCTTCAATGTTTATATTAACATTTTCTATAGGTACTCTACCAAAATATTTTGACTTGTTTTGAGCTGTTTGTGGGCATTTTCAGTTTTCATTTTTTTTTTATTTTTTTCAAATAAATGTCAATAAAATTTTAGTTGTTGGGTCAAAAAGCATGAACATTTAATACGAGGTTCCTGATTTATTGTTAAGATAGCAGTTGAAAATGTTAAAAATAGATAGGCACAATTTATGAAATTGAAGAATAATTTTCAACTTTTATATATTATACACTCCCGACTCCGGCCCACGAGAGATCAGTACCGTTACGCGCATGCAGAATGAGTAATGCCCTGTAGCGACGGTGCCCGAGTCGGTGCGGAGCCCAATTTTCCCCACTATGTGCCGGAATGCCGCAATCGTCGACCGACACCGACAGTTGCCGAAACGCTGTGGTTGGTTGAGTAGGAGCGAATATTGAGTGGGAGATGCGCGAAATCGGACGAGTTTTGGTCGAATAGCGGTACTGATCTCTCGTGGGCCGGAGTATAGCTATTAGCTAAGCCTAAGGTTTGAAAATTGAAAACGTTCGACGTAATTAGGTTATTCTGTAACTAAAATTCTAAAAAAATATAAAACATCATTTTTCTTATAGGTACCTACCCAGTTATTTTATTTTCAAATTGGACGAAATTAGATATTTAAATGAAGAAGAACGATTTTAGTTCGTGTTATACCTACTTTAAATTGAAACGTCTAAAATAGACGATTATATTATACAAATATGATAATAAACAAAAACCTAGGTATAAGGTATGTAATCATATGCTTATTGTTAGTTTAGTTGTATAATAGTTATATAGGTATTTACCAAGTATTTACTATTAATAATAATACTAACTTAGGTACTAATAATAATAGGTACCTACAGGAAATTGTGTTTTCGAATAACAATGTATTGTTTGGATTAGTACCTACACGCTACACATAATAATAGGGAACTAAAATGTTGTAAAATTTTAATTTGGTAGATTTAGTGTACAAATGTATTTGTGGTGTTTTAAGGCTGCTGTAAGATCAATTTATAAGAAACCTTGAACATTAAATTGTTAGGATTTTTTCTTGGAGTTTTTTATGTAGGTACCTACAACATTATTTTATATTTTATTTTATATTTTTAATTTTTTAAATGCCGTCTGCATCTAGTGCCGGTGATTTTACTCGTAAAATAATAAAATTGATACTAGTGATGGGTACCCGATTGTTGTTTAGTTAAATTATTTACATGATTTCAATAAAAAAAATATCTATTAAGTATAAACATCCGCATTTCTATTAACTATACATTTTTGATTGTATGGGCTCTACATATTACATTTAAAAAAACAAGAATAATTCCAATTTTATGTCACAAGGGTTGATCAAGCAACTGACTGCTATAAAAAAAAAAAACGACAACTGTGCAATTTTTTTTTAAGCATAATCCGTTTTGAAAACGTCCAGAAAATAGTTTGTCTTAAGAGTTAAGACTGTGGGACTTGATAACAACTAATATAATTTAATGTGTATTGTTATATTATATTATAATGAAAATAAAATATATAGATTAATAATATTATATTGTTATAAATAATTCTCGCAAACCGAAGATGATACCCGGCGTGTATAGCTTATGCAAAAACTTGGCATGGTGAAACGAAGACGGTCTT